TTATTTGACAGGGCAAGACAGAGAGAGACACAAGCAGGCTCCCCGCTGAGCAGGGAGCCTGATGTGGGGCTCCATCCCAGGACTAACCTGAGCTGAAGGCAGCCGCTTAATGGACTGAGCCACCCAGGCGCCCTGTGGTTACATTTTTAAAAGGAGCCTTTATCTTTCAGAGATTCTTTCTAAAGTATTTATAGATGAAATGCTAAGAAGGTTGGGATTGACTCACAATAATCTAGGGCAATGATTTTCACCTGGAGGACTCATTAAAACAGATTTCTGTGGCTCAAGGCCAGAGTTTCTGACTCAGTAGGGCCTTAATGGCCCCGATCATTTGTATTTCTATTGCTGGTTGATGCCTATTGTCTGAGGCCTACATTATGAGACCCACTGAGGGAAGGTAGAGGAGAGTGGTGGGGGGTATGAGTGAACAGGGTTGGGCAAGAGCTGGTAGCAGGGGAGTTGGTGGGGACGTGGTAGTGTGGGTCCATAGGGTTGTTCCAGTACTCTATTTTTCTTTAGAAGTGTTCAGAGTAAAAAAGCATGTGTGTGTGTGTGTGTGTGTGTGTGTGTGTATCCAGAATTTGACTATTTCTCACCACCTCACTGCTACCACCCTGGTCCAAGCTAGCATCATCTCTTGCCCGGATCATTGTAGGGGTCTCCTTGCTTTTCCCCCTGCCCCTCTAGGATCTGTTCTCAACATATCAGCCAGAGCGGTCCTCAAAACCCTGCGATGGCTCCCTCTCACTCAGAGTGAAACCCCAGGTCTTTCTATGACAGACAAAGCTCTCCACAATGTGTCCTCCACTCTGTTTCCTCTGTCGGACATGGATCTCCTTGCTGGTCCTTGGATATGTCAGGAATGCTTCTGCCTCAGGACCTTTACACATGATCTCCTGGCCCTATAGTGCCACCCCCCAATCACTCAGCCATCCCTGTGATTTCCTTCAAGTCTGCGTTCGAAAGTCACCCTTGCAGTGATGTCTTAGACTACGGTAGGTAAAGTTTCGCGCGCGCACACACACACACACCGCACACCGCACACTTTATACCCCCTTCCCCGCTCACTTTTTCTCCTTAGCTCCTATCACTGTCTGTACTGTGCTTATTGAGCTTGTCTGTCCCCCTTGGCAGGAAGCTTGCACGGTCAGTACCTGGCACTGAGTGGGCCCTGCCACTCTGCCTTTGTGGATGTGCCTTGCCCGTGCCACTGTTCCCGGCTCCCACCCCCTCCCGGCTTGGCCTCCACTGTCATCTCACATCCATTCATGACACACATTCCTTCTTTGCCGCTGCCAAATGCCTGTCTTGGCCAGCTCTGCTGGAGATGGATTTTTGTCCATTTGGTTCGCTGCTGTATTTGGGTCCAGGACAGTGCCAGCCCTGGCAGGCTCTCAGCACATCGTTCGCTGGGCGCATGGCTGCGTCCCAGGGGCGAGAGGTGGATGAGGAAGAGGGTGGGGAGCAAATGAAGGGACTTTCCTTAAAGGCTGGAAATTTGTGGCCAGTGGGGGCAGAAGCAAAGGCATTCTAACATGGAAAAATCTACAGGAAATGCAACGAAAGTGTGAAAGACAGGAATAGGCTATTTTTGAAACATTAAGGGAGGACAGAAGTTGCAAATGGGCAGGCCAAATGCAGTCTGCAGAGGTGTGTGTTCAGCCCACACAATGCTTAAAATAAATTTGGATTGGTTGCCAACACTGAAAAATCAGGAGTGTCCTATTTCTCTTGAAAAACTGGCGAAGACTTGCTGGGACTGGGCTGGCATGGGACTGGCCATCTGCCCCCGTCAGAGGGGGTATGTGTCCTCTGGTCACTCATGGCCCCCTCCAGCAGCTTCATTCATTCATCACCTGCCTGGGGCTTGGAGACGTTCAATCTATGAGCTCCCTTTTGAAGAGCAAAATGGATTTCTTCTTTCTTCAAACCTAACTGAGGAAATACAGTTGTTTGGGGGCAAGCAGGGGTGTCAGGTGATTTGGGAACAGGCTGCCTGAGAGGCCAGGCCTCTGGGAGTGCAGGGTCGGGGGGGGGGGGGGAGGGCTACATTATGGGAGTGGAACGTCCCCCCTTAAACAGTGAGGGTTGGAAGGAGGGGTGGAGAGGGGGGGGAATTGGGGGGGGGGGGGGGGGGGGGGGGCACTGAGAACAGACAGCCCCCACCAGAAGCCAGGAGGAGGCAGGGAAGAATTGTCCCCTGGAGCCTTCAGAGGGGGCCGGGCCCTGCCGACACCTGCTGCAGACTTCTGGCCTTCGGCCCCATGAGATGGTCCCGTGTTGTTGCTTGAGGCCAGTAAGGTAGTGACTTGCTGTGGGCTCCCACGTGGCAGGCAGAAAGGGGTTTCCGCTGGGAAGGCAGTAGCTTACAGGATTCAAATGGGACCCGGTGGCCCTGGGGTGTTGTGCTTGTTTGTCTGCTAAATAAGAGGATGAAGAGCCTTTTGTTACTTGTATTGGCTTCGTGTTCCTGGTGACAGGCTGTGATGTGTGCACTTGTCACCTGTCACCCAGCTGGGCAAGTGGCCAGTTGAGTTTCCAGGGCTTCTCCTCGTGGGCACGTTCCCACCTCTGAAGTGTGGATCTGACCACCTTGCTTCGGCGAGCAGTTGCCTGATGTGTTTTACTTGGTCAGGATGATTTGCAGAGGTAAATGAACGCACAAAGGCCTCCTTGTTGCTGGCTAACAAAATAAGAACGGGGTGACCCTAAGGCTTAAGGATTCTGTGTGAGGGCTTTTGTAAAGCTCCAAGGGTTGAAATATATATTTTGGGGTCAGAATTGTTCTCATGCTTTATCAACATGTATCCTGAGAGGAGGGCCGGGATCCTGGTTCTGCCTGCAGCACCTGCGTGCGGGAGACACCGGGCTGTCCATGCCCGTGGCCTGCAGGGGTAGGCTTTCACAGGGTTGACCTGTCCCAGACCAGAGCGCAGGCCCATTTCCAGGAGGACTCTGTAGGCACAGGACATAGTGCCTGGCCCTCCGCAGTGGGCTTGCCATCACGTCTGGGCAGAGGATGTTGTTCATCTCAGCCAGGAGCAGATGCGGGGAGTGGAGAGGCTACCTCGCCCCCCCCCTCACCCATCATCATTGTGGGAGCGGGAGGCCTGTGGCTTCCGAGAAATGGGTTATAGCCGCCTGTGCACCCCTCGGATGTCAGTCATTAGTCCTTGTGGCTGTTACTTTGCGTGGCAAGAGGGACTTTGCAGATTTGATTAAGTTAAGGGGATTGACATGGGGAGATTGTCCTGGGTTACCTGGGTTACCTGGGTGGGCCCAGTGTACTCATAAGGGCCCTTAAAAGAGGGAGGAGGGGGGCGCCTGGGTGGCTCAGGCCTTAAGCGTCTGCCTTCGGCTCAGGTCGTGGTCCCAGGGTCCTGGGATCGAGCCCCGCATCGGGCTCCCTGCTCCGCGGGGAGCCTGCTTCTCCCTCTGCCTCTCCTCCTGCCCCTGCCCCCGCTCATTCTTTCTCTCAAATAAATAAATACAATTAAAAAAAAAAAAAGAGGGAGAAGGGAAGCAGGAGAGGGGGAGAGAATGAGAAGTAAAGGTGGGAGCAGAGACCAGAGTGAGGCCATCACCGGCTATGAAGGGGGTGGGCGGGGGACAGGAGCCCAGGAACACAGCGGGGCTCGAGATGCTGAGAAATGCCAGGAAACAGGTTCTTTCCTAGAGCTTCCAGAGGAATGCAATCCTGCCAACATGGATTTTAACCCAGGAGAACCCATTTCGGAGACTCTGACCTGCACAGTTGTCAGCTCACAGATGCGTGTTGTTTTGAGCCAGTGGGTCTGGTCGTTTGTTACCACAGCTGCAGCAGGGGGACGAGTGAATGACGCGCGGCTGCCCCTTCTCCGAACCGGTGGAGGGAGTGGGTGGGACGGCCCCCCAGTCCTTCTCATAGTTAGCTTTAGGTTACTATGCCCCCTTGCCCCCCCAACACCCTAAGCAATCAGAACAATTCCTGTGAGCACTGGGGAGAAATGTGACTTAGTAAACTGGTTCTTAACCTCTTCAGGGTACTAACTCCTTTGCCATTCTGACAAAAACAGTGGCTCCAAGCATCATAAAAAAATACAGCCAAAAATTTGCACACAGTTGTGGGTTGTATAGATCCCCCCAGACGCTCCCCCGTGAAGCTGCAGTGTCGGCTGGGCCTTCCTCTGTCGCCACGGATTAAGAGCCCATCTGTCACAGTAAATCAGAGGCAGGGTGACTGCTCTCCTAGTGAATCTCCCTAATGCTGTCTGCCATGCCCTCCTTTGAGGGTTCATCGGGTTCCTATTTCGTTCTCTGCACATAGAAACATTCTTCAGAGGAACGGTCCAAGGGCCTGCCGCCGTCCGTGCCAGATGGGTCTCTGGTGCCCTTGAAGGTCAAGGGCTCCTGGTTCCAAAGGGTCCTTCCCTCTGTCAGGTCAGCTTTCTTCTCTTGCTTTCTGCTGAGGCCGTGTCTCGTCCCGGGCCCTGGTGGTAACTGCTGAAGACCCTGGGGGCTCTGCTCCTGCAGCTTGCCAGGGGGATGCCTCGGGCCCAGGCCCGGGGTACTCGGGACACAGGGGCCTTCTGCGCAGCCTCCCCTGTATGTTAGTTAGCAGGTCCCTGCGGGCAGGTGGGCACTCGCAGGACGAGCCTCCAGTGAACAATGTTTAGGAAGGAAGGTCCTCCCCACCAGGTAACAATGACTCACTCCTGCTTCTGAGTCTGCAGCCAGGGCTGGGCCTGAGGCACCTGCTCCTGGCTCGAACCTCAGCACCTCCTCTCCCTCACCCTCCCCAGCCGCCAGGGAGCTGTGGGCGCTTTCAGAGAGCAAGCTTTTTGTGGGAAGGTCTAAATCTCTGCAGCTCGGTGATTCGCTAGTCCTAAAACCTCCACATACATTACTTGAGGCCGAGCTATTGTCTCTGCTTTTCTTTTTCGAGTGGGTGGAGAGCCAGATGGGAAGGCTGCAGTGAATGAACCCCACAGGAGACCCAGGCTGATGTTGTCTGTGATGTGTTTCTATCTCAGCTCCGGAAGAGAAGGAGGTCATTAAAGGCCAGTATGGAAAACTCACGGACGCTTATGGCTGCTTGGGGGAGCTCAGGGTAAGATCTGGTAAGTACCCGTTCACACAGATCAACTGTCAGAACGTCTGCTGCTGCTAGACTTCCTGGGCCAGAGCCTCTCCTGCATTTGTTTGGAAAGACTGCCGGATTTAGGCGTTTTATTTTAGCTGTTCGGATCTTCTAAAATGTCTCTTTATTTTGCTGAGCCCGCTCCTCCATGCTGGGGAGGTGGTCAAGGTGAACGCAGCCCGATTCTCACCTGTCTGTGCTGGCGGGAGGAGGAGAATGTGTACGAAGGAAGCTCACCTTCCTTGTTTGCCCTCCAGGACCTGAGTTCTTCCAAAGTTGGGTGTGTGTGTGTGGGGGGTCCCCCCAGGGGGCTGTTTATCATTTCCAAGGGATCTGTACTGTAGAAAGGGTGGATGCGGGAGGTCAGAAGCCCCCGGACTCACAGGGGTGGCGTGGAGAAGAGCCGGGACTGGGCGTGCATGTTGGCAAGGAGAGCCCCCAGCACCTGCCATCGATCATCGGGGGCGGGGGGCATTTGAAAAATGGGCCGTGTGGTCTGACTTTGAAAAGGCTGAGAACTCACAGGAACAAGCAGGCATCCTTGCTCCTATGAGACCCTCGGGGCTGAGCTGCCAGCTGGGCTGCTACTGGGGGTCGCAGCCTTTGGTGGGGCCCCTGTGTTGCCACCTCTGTGCCCCTGGACTTCAGGGTCTGTGGCCACCCTTTCCTTCCTCCTCTTTGCGCCACCACATTTATGTTGGCTGGACCCAGCGTCTCCAGGGACGTTTAGGGCCCAGGCCAGAGCACAGGTGACATCCCTCATTCTCAGCCCTGCTCCCCAGAATGAGAATGGCTGGGAGTGGACCAGATTCGGGCGCATGGCTTTTCCCCAAACCGAGCATGTTAGGGCTGCACGTGTCCCACAGCAGCTGTGTCCCCAGACTGAGGGGTTTTTTAGCCAACAGAATGGCACTGTTGTTTGTCACTACTCTTCTGGGGCTTTTCTTTCAGGGGATGGGGTTTCCTGAACTCTGATGCTGATCATTTTCAAATAATGTGTAGGAAAAGCATTCAGTAGCCATATGACAACATGCATGCATTCAATGTCTGTTTTGTGTCCGGGGCTAGCTATGCAGTAACTTATTTAATCCTAAAAATAAGCCAATATGATGCTGGGTGTCTTTCCCACTGCTCCTAGTAACGGCAACAGGCTCAGAGGGGTAAAGTCATTGCCTCGGGGAAGAAGAGTAGCTAGGATTCAAACCCGGACTGGGCTGCCTCCGTACACTTGCTTTTTCCCTGAAAACATGCTGCCTGCCACAGTTTTCTGTGGGACTTTTCCCCACAGTGATTTTAACGAGGTTACAAAAATTTCCTGTGGCCCTTGCCTCCGTGGCGATGATGTGAGGAAGCCAGCTAACCTTCCACAGCGTGTACTCTGTGCCAGGCACTGTTTTAACATGGTAACTCGGCTCTCCCAACACGAGAGGTGGGTGCCTGTTCCTGTTTCCCCACACAGAGAAGCTCAGAAAACTTAAGTGCTGTATTTTGTCTATTCTGTGACTTTTTTTTACATTTTAGTGTCTTGGCTCTTAGGATGTGTTACCACTGTTGACATCTTACAGTTATAACCGGCGATGGTTTTCTGCTACATGAATCAGTGATCTGTTTTGCATCTGACTGAGACCTGGATTTTGCGCAGGGACACAGCTTGGCCAAGGTCAGGCAGTTCTCAAGGGGGTAACCTGGGGTTGTTGTCAACCACTGGGCTGTTCTGTCTTGAAAGGGGGCAGAAAAGGTTGCGCTTCCAAGGACAGGAAGAGCAGTACATTTCCATCATCCCAGAGGAAAGTGTCCTTTCCCTGGACTATGATCTGAGGTTGGCTGCAGGGAGTTGCTCTTAACAGCTCCCCAGTCTGAATCCTAGCTACACTTCTGCCTTTAACCCTGAGAAATATTGCCAGAGTGGCTGTGGGGCATCTGGCCCAGGGTCAGGGCAGGCTTCCGTGGAATCACCCCAGGGCAGGATGTGGAGAGGTGACCACCTGCTGGGGAGCTGTCCCCCTTCCCCCCCCCCCCCCCCCCGTCACCCGACCCCGGGGCAAGGCCCTGCTCCCTTCCTGCAGCCAGTGCCACCCACCCACCCCTCCCCCGAGGAGTGAGCGCGCACAGCCTCCGGGGGCTGCAAGCAAGCAGGCATGGCCCTGGTGTGGAGGGCCGTTAGGTCCCCAGCCCCTATTTCTCCCATCCTCTGAGTACCCCCAGCCCCGCCTGCCAGAGTAGAGTCGCCCTCCAGGGGGGGCTGCCATAACTCTCCCCGAGGGGGTGAGGATGACTTCGAGTTTTGGAATGTCAGGATTCTTTGGCCTGTTTTCAACACATTCCTGAAAGAGTCCTAGGGTATATGAAGGATGGATGGAAGGGCTGGGCCTTATCGTGCAGTTTTTTAAACCCCCTTTGGTTACATGAAGGAGTACGTGGTTTTAACTTGATTTTCTTTTCCTGCTGCAAGTTCCCGGCCCAGAGCTATCGTGTTTCGCCTCAGCTTTTGAGGGTGTTGGGCAGTGCAGAGTGAAAAACCAGTTGGGGATGGGCCTCCCTTTTGACTTTGTTAGGCTGAGGGTCTCTGTACAAAGAAAGAGACTTCCCCTTAGGCTTGTAACAGGGGCAAGTTGTCGAATTTCTTTTTTGTTTTGTCCTTTAATTTTTTATTGTTATGTTAATCGACATCATTAGTTTTTGATGTAGTGTTCCATGATGCGTTGTTTGTGCGTAACACCCAGTGCTCCACGCAGAACGTGCCCTCTTTAATACCCGTCACCAGGCTGACCCATCCCCCCACCCCCTCCCCTCTGAACCCTCAGTTTGTTTTTCAGAGTCCATCGTCTCTCATGGTTCGTCTCCCCCTCCAATTTACCCCCCTTCATTCTTCCCCTCCTGCTATCTTTTTCTTTTTTCTTAACGTATGTTGCATTATTTGTTTCAGAGGTACAGATCTGTGATTCAACAGTCTTGCACAATTCACGGTGCTCACCATAGCACATACCCTCCCCAATGTCTATCACCCAGCAACCCCATCCCTCCCACCCCACCACCACTCCAGCAACCCTCAGTTTGTTTCCTGAGATTAAGAATTCCTCACATCAGTGAGGTCATGTGATACATGTCTTTCTCTGATTGACTTATTTCACTCAGCATAACACCCTCCAGTTCCATCCACGTCGTTGCAAATGGCAAGATCTCGTTCCTTTTGATGGCTGCATAATATTCCACTGTGTATATATACCACCTCTTCTTTATCCATTCATCTGTCGATGGACATCTTGGCACTTTCCACAGTTGCGGGTTGTTGAATTTCAATCTAAGTGAAGATAGCTTTTTCATGTTAGAAATTAAGAAACGTGCACAAAAATTACATAAAAGCTTTATCTCATGTTCCTAGGTTTTCATAAAGACCATAAGTCCCTCCTTCCTCCCTGAAATGCCAGCAGGAAGGGGGTGGAGCCCCCACAATTAGCCGGGGAGTCGGGCTTCCTGATGCACACATGATACAAAGCATAGAAAGTGAGGGTATAGTGCTCGAAAGGATTTATCGCAACGATTACAGGAATTTAGCTCCCTTTTAACCTAAGCTCTCACGGCCTCCCTATTTCATAGCCTCAAGGATTGAACACAGTGAGGTCTATAATGAATCAGGTCTTCTGGAGTTGTGTAGTGCGCAGCCTGTGAAACTGTACAGGACAGCCCTCCTAGATTCTAGTTCTAGCTTCACAACAGACTCACTTTCTATATTATTAATCTCTCTAGGGCTGTATTCCCACCTGCAAAACCAGGAAAGCTGCCTCACATCTATATTACATAATTCCTAAGAGATTTATAGGGGAGAATAAACCTGGTCTGAACGTGGGTACCGAGGGCAAGGGGGCTGGCCTGCAGAGGGGTCCCTCTGGGAGAAGGAGGTGTGGGGTAGGGGTCAGGGCACTGAGTCCTGGTGGGTGATTAATCTGCACAGGCTAGCGGAGGGCTCACTGCTGGGCAGTCACTACAAAATGAAAAGTCTCTGGAGAGAGAAATGTGATTGTCTTTAGTCCTGAGATTCGGGGTATGCAGTATTCCCTAGAAAGTCTTGAAATGATGTGGCCTTCATCAGTCTTAGGATCATTTACGACCTACATCCAGTGGTGTGCTGGTAAATACTGGACATCCAGCTCTCTGGGGGCAACACAGCCCTGATATGAAGCGTCTGCTGGTTTCCATGGTGTAGCTAACCCACCCCTGGCGGATTTCAGGCTACCGCTCAGAGTTGGGGACAGATGGGCACAGCTGGCTCCCATGAGCCTGTGTAAGCTGCCACTTTCACGTTCTGGAAAGGGAAGGTGAAAGATCCTTGAAACTGCGCCACTTGGGTGCAGGGTATTTAGAACTCCGAGCTGGCTGGTATGGGGCCCCTCCACTCCGTGGGTGGGCTAGCCTAGAGCTCCTGAGTCCTGTGTCTACGGCCTTAAAGTATGAGAGTGTCCTGTACAGGCAGTATCGAGAAGGGGGTCTTTAGGCAGCACAGCGTTGAGATTGGCATGAACCTGGCCAGGGGGCGATCTCCAAGGCTGAGCCAACAGAGAAGTGCCAGTGCAGGGGAAGCAGGGGTCCCGGCAGCCAGGACACACCCAGCATTGTCCCCGCACAAACGGCATTGTGTGTGCGCGTGACTCACGGTGCTCCTAGCGCCAGCCCTTTCCAGCCAGATGACAAACGGCCACAGCGCGACAAGACACGGACCCCGTTGCTGCAGGGCTCGGGGGCTTGGGGGCAGCTGGGCGTCGGAGTTGGGTTTTGAAGGCAGCCCTCTCGAGGGAGAGAATTTCTAAATCGACATTGAGGTCTCTGAGGTTGTTGTGTGTGGGATAAAATAGAAGCTAAAAACTTAACCCCTGTAACCAATTTAAAGTGGACAGTTTCGTAGCACTAAGGACATGTACATTGTTGTACAACCATCTGTCTCTAGAACTCTTGTTATCTTCCCAAACTGAGACCCCAGCCCCACTGAACAATACATATTGGGGTGGTCGCCTCCCATTTCCCCACCCTGCCTGCGCAGGCTGCGGGACTGGTCTGCACCCTGAGCCTCCTGTCCTCTGGAGTGGTGTATGTGTCCCCGTGTGTGTGTGTGATCCCTTCCCGGTCTGGTGTGTCTTTGGGCCTGTGACCTGTTGCTTGTCCTCCCTGTCACCTCCCCTAACTGCGGCCAGCGACCTCTGACCCAGGCGTGCTCTTGCTTTGGCCAGAGCCCTGGAACCAGAGTTCCCCCGAGCTGGAAGGGACACAGAGGCCGTCTGGCGCATGGTTCTCTGAGGCCCAGAGAGGGTAGGAGACTGGCCGGAGGCCCCACAGGCCGGTAGAGGTGTGCAGAGGCCAGAGCCTCAGCTGCTGAGGCCAAAGCAAGTTTGAGTTTTGTCTTCCCCTTGCTAGAAGATCCTTTCTGGTTTTAAGCCCCTGGACTCAGTCAGCCTTGACTAATGACTTCTGGGACCCCACCCCAGGCCTGGTATTCTTGGCTGGGAGGAAACTGATCCTGCCTTACTAAAATCAAAGCCTAGGTCTTGTGTGCAAGGTGAGCGCCCGAGGGGACATCCTCCACACCTGGGGCGGGTGAGTCCCCCCAGCCCCACTGTTAGCCCCTAGAGACACCTGCTGACAGGTAGGCCAGGGGGCAGTGACCCCCCACCCCCACCCCACAATCTGGTGCTGGACTTGAATCAGGACGCTTCCCTTACAATCTGTAGTACATGGAGCGCATCCAAGGTTGCTAGACAAGATGGGGGAGGGGGAGTCATGCCAGGACTGGAGTGACAGGAAGCCACGCGCCGGGCTGTGGAGGGCCGGGTCCCCTTCCCGGAGAGGCCGTGGCCCGGCGCAGTTCCTCTGAGGTCACAGAGGCCGTCCACGGCACGCGGACTTGGTCAGTTCTGAGGAGAACAGTTCCTCGGTCCTCACCTCCTTGGTTTGCCTAAGAATGTCCCTGTGATGAGGGGTCGTTTCTCATTCTCTTCCATCCCCTTGCACCTGACCTTCTCCTGCCTCCAGAATCGTACCATGGTGTGTGGCTCTGGGAGGCAGATACCTACAGATGCCAAACAGAGGGCCGGTTCCCCCTACTGTTGTTGGCTCTGGGGAGGCAGCATGTCACCTCGGTGCCTGGGTGACATTTGGTTTAACAAGTCAGGGAACAGCCAGCGGTTGGCTTTTGACAAAACTGGAGGAGAACGTCAGTGGGCTATCAGCTGACGGCACTGATAGTAATTTGATGGATAGATTTTGTGATTTTTTTTTTTTTTTAACAGGTAACTCAGAAGGACGTTGAAGAGTGATTGGGCAACATTTCTATAATGAAGCCCTTTCTGTTCCTAGGCCGTCTGGCGCATTGTTCTCTGAGGCCCGGCGAACACTGTGAACACTAAGAGCAAGGTTTCTTAGTGTTCACATCTGTAAAAATGAAAAACAGAACTAGACTTGGTAGAGGATCTAGTTTCATTCCATTAATAAGTAATACTTATCTGTGGATATATGAACCAGAGGTCCCATCCACCTTCCCAACAAATCTTTATATTTTTTATGTTAAATTACTGTTTAGCAAAGCATTGTGTTTATAGTGTTTGACCAATTTTGTACTAAAAATCATTGCAATGATAACTCAAGTCTTTTAAACACTTTGAGCGTTAGGATCAAACTGCTGCACTGTAGGATCAAGAGACACAGAAGCACAAAATATGTGACATTAGGATGAAATTCTGGGGGGACGTGGAATGGAAATACGAGGAAAATCCCATCTGTTAAAGAAGAACTTATTCATGCATTCCTTGATCAAACCAGAGTCTAGATTCTACTGGATCCTGGTAAAGAGGCCCACAACAGTTTTATTTTTACATGTCAATATTTAGGATATTGTGGAAAATATATTATTCACAACCGTTTAAGCTAATGATGAAAGCTCGTGGCGTCAGATGAGCAAGTGGTGCGTTAGTCAGCCACACCCCTAGTGAGACAGTAAGCCAGTGGGACTGGAGACCGCCAGACCTGGGGGCCCGAGGGAGCCGGGGAGGTGACACCCACCACCTTTGCACTGTGGGTCCAACACAGACTAGCCGCGCACTTGGGCAGATGATTCAGCTCCCCCCGGGGACAGTCCCTCGCGTGTGAAATGGCAGCCTCGTCAGGCACGTGGCCCATCCTTCAGCGAGGATCTAGGTAAAGAGCGCCGGCTCTGGAAGCAGACTTGGCCTGAGTAACTTGCCCAGGCGCTAGAGCCCGAAAGTGGGTTCAAATCCCCGCTCCCCCGCTGGGTCACCTTGGGCAGGCTTCTTAACCTCTCTGTGCCTCCAGCTGCCCCTCTGTGAAATGGAGCTAAGAGTGGTACCCGCCCCCCCCTCCGTGGGCTTGTTGAGAGGAAGGTCACGGAACAGTGTCTGGTGCCCGGGAAGCACCAGGACCTGAGAGTCCATTGTCATCAAAGTGCTTGGTTCCAGTGCGCTCCTATGGTGGCTTTTTAAAGATTTACCCGTGCCTTCCCCTGAGCCCCTCGTCCCAGGACTCAGGAGCTCCAGTTCTCATTTATTTTAAGAGTGTTTCATGCCTGCTGCAGCCGCCCCTCCTGAGCCTCCCCCGGGCCACTGCCCTGCACAGGAAATGCCTACTGTCTTCAGAGCCGCCTGGGACTCTTGCCAGGGACTCAGTCCCCCCCACGCAGGGGCTGTTGAGGAAGTGCTGCTCGAAATCCACTCCACAACTTGGGTGGAGAGACTTAGTTTTCCACGCTTCTCCTTGACCGCACTCTGTATTGAATCCCCTCTGGGGCTCGCAGCCTAGCCCGCAGGGGCTGTCCCCCGGCCACGCCTCTGACTGTTCTTGAACTCCGCTTTCCCTGCTCTGAGCACATCGACAGAGGCAGAGGGGATGCCTGGGCATTGGTTCGAGCACAGGCTATGGGCCAGTTTGTGTTTGTGGGGCTATAATTCGGGGACATCAAGCCCACACAAACCCCACCTGTCTTCCAGAAATGACACTTATCCTGCTTAAGAAACTCAGCCCCCCGACCCTGATCACTGTCCACAGCATAACTGTCTTATTCTTTAAAGTAGTTGCATTAGTTTCCTGGTCATCTGCCTGGGGAGGTGGGATATGAGCCAATATGGTCGCCTCATTGGTTCTCCCCTACCCAACAAGGATTGGTAGGATTAGTGACCTAGTTATTGGAGGAAGGCATCTTTAAGAAAAACCCAGACGTGTCCTGGCCCCGAGCAGCACCCTTCTTCTTATCAAGTGTGAGGAGGGAGTGGGGGGGGGGGACACAATGAGCACTAGGAACTGAAGGGTCTTTTATCAGAGTGTCTGAAATGTTGGCCACCATGGCTCCCGATAATGACCTCTGACCATTGGGAATGGATCTTGCTGGGAGCAGGTCCTTCAAAGCTCAGCAGGGTGGGAAGAATGTCCTCGGGACCAGAACCACGCCAGCTCCTGAAGGCCGGGTGGTCCCCCCAGTGATCTCTCAGGCCCTCTCCTGAAACAGAGCAGGGCCACCGTCCCTGCTGTCGCCACAGCAGAGCCTCGCCATGCACCCCTGACTCCCACAGCATGTGCTTGCCAGCACCTGTGCAGTGGGGGGTGCGGCAGAGAAGGCAGCCACGGACGGTGTGGTGGGGTTCCCGGAGGGGTTGCCTCATTCTTCTGGCAACCAGGTGGGCAGTGGTAGGGGTAATCATTTCGTGGGGAGTGGGGGGCTCAGGTAGGAAGTATTCCTCAAACATCTGCCATGTGCAGTGCTGTGACGGAACAATGAAGCAGAGTCCTGGCCCTAAGAGACCCCCAATCTACTGGGGGACCCAGATGGGAGCGAGGTTGTTAGCTTTGCGTCTATGCGGGCTAACAGGGATGCCGTTGGCCTGTAGGAGGGGCACATAGCAATGTCTTGGGAGAGCAGGGCAGGCTCCCCTAGAGGAGTTCTCCTGGAAAGGAGGGGCTGAGCTACGGTGGCCCTGATGAACACTGGGAAGGCTCGTGGCTCTTCTGGAGGGTGGAGGCAGGGAAGGTGAGTGGGGAAGGCCTTGATGGACAGATGATGGTGGTGGGGCGTCCTGGGCAGAGACAACATCTTGGGCAAAGGCCCAGGGGTGTGAGGGCATATGGCGTATTTGAGGAGCCACAGAGGACAGCCCTTGAGAGCTGCTGGACCGTGGGTGTCCATAGGTGGGGAGGGATGGGGGTGGTCGGCCTGGGAGGAGTTCCCCTTCCAGTCCTGGGGGAGGTGGGAGCTGTGGGAGGATTTAAGCAGAGAGGGAGGTCTTCCAGCAGGCAACTTCGAGAGGTTACTCTGGTGGCTGAGCTTGGAGGACTGACCCCACTGGGGGGCCTTGAGCAAGGTGGTGCCTAAGGCTTCACGAAGAGGGTGGATTTGCAAGGCTTTGGGTGGCAGGTAGGGGGAGGCTATAGGGCCGGGAAGGCTCCAGGCCAGTGACCCTCAGGCTGGTGGGCAGCAGGACGGCCTGGCTGCTTGTTATAGCACAGGTGGTTGGCCCCTGGCTCCGCGGTCTGGATGGGACCAAAAATTCGCAGTTCCAGTGGGCTCCCAGGTGGTGATGCTGCTGCTGATCAGAGGCCACCCTCGGAGAACCAGGCACTGGGCTCCAGGCTCAGGTGACAGATTCCTGGGGCTGCGAGGGAGCGAACACAGCCACGTGGTTGCAGTGGCGTTGTGGGCGCCTGTCCCCTGCTCGGCTCTGAGCTGCTCCGGCTCCGTGAGGTGCTCAGCCCCCTTGTCTGTTTCCCTTCCAGGCGCCGCTTCCCTGAGCTTCCTGGTTCTGGTGACAGGCTGCACGTCCGTGGGCAGAATTCCAGAGGCCGAAATCTACAAAATCACCGCCACAGACTTTTACCCCCTGCAGGAGGAGGCCAAAGAGGAAGACCGCCTCACGGCCTTGAGGAAGATCCTCAACTCAGGGGTCTTCTACTTCTCGTGGCCCAGTGACGGGTCCAGCTTCGACCTCACCGTCCGGGCACAGAAGCAGGGCCGCGACAGCTATGAGTGGGGGAGCTCCTTCTTTTGGTGAGGGCCCTGGGTCGTCTCCTGCCGCCCCGCCCCCGCATCCCCGTCCCCCTTGGGTCACATGGAGGGCGGGCTCTGATTGGCACCTGTGTCCTTGTTCTCTGCTTCACATCATCCCCAGGGTCCTGGGGTACCTCTGAGAGCCCAGTTGCTCTCAACACAGTGAGAAGAAAGCTAACCCCCCATCCCCTCCCTGGGCTCAGAGAAGGTGTTCGAAGTGGTCTAATGTAGATTTAGAAAAGAAACTCTCCATAAGTAAAGAGCATGAGAGCCGGCATCCACCGGGGTACTTCCTAGGTGCCGGGCCGTGCTCAGTGTTGCTGTGGCCCTCTCAGCGACCCTGGTTACCCTCTGGTGCACACACATTTTACTACTGCTTATATACGGTGCTCATGTTCTAATAAGTTCCCTGCTGGTAATAACTCAGGATCCTCATAGTAACCTATGAGGTAGGGTCTGTTTGTTATGCCCATTTTACAGATAAGGAGACTGAGGCTTGAACAAGTGAGGGAATTCAAACCCAGGCATTCTGGCTCCAGATCCTGTACTGTTAATCACCAAGCCAAACCAGCTCCTCCAACAATGAGGAAACTGAGTCAGCCTGCCAAGGTGACACGTAGTCATGTGATAAGACGTATCCTGAAGCCCAGACCAAGGTGCCTGGATTTCTGTATGTTGAGGGTTATTCAGGTGCTCCTTCGTGGACACAGCCAGGTGTGGATGACTGTATAAATATGTAAATTATCTACAGCTCTCTCTGGACGCTGGAGGTCATGACCCTGGCAAATCCTGTTGGGGAGGGGTGGTGCAGTGATTTACACTGACAGGTGCCAGGCCTGGGTTGTCAACTGCTGTACCCTTCAGATTTGCCAGGAGATGTGTAAGAAGTGAGTCAAGCCGACATGATGAAAATCGTGCCATAGAAATTGCTCCAGTTTGCCTCATGTACTGAATGTTCTTAGAATTCCAGTGCTGGCCCTTTGGAGCCACCCGTTTTCCAGCCCTAAGACTGGGTTGGTGAGGCTTATTTACATCCTTTATTTATGCCTGCCTCCCTCCCTCCCTGTGCCCAAACCCAGAAACTCGTAGGCCTCCTTCACTGCATGAATGTTTTCTTCCTTGGTGCTTTGGGCCCCCCACCCCTGCCAGACTTCTGTTTGGAGAAAGAGGCTGCACCATATCCTGCCATGCGCCTCGGCATTCCCTACCCCCAGGCCCTCTTGGACCCTCTCTTGGGTTCTTGGGGCAGTAATGTGCTCAAACTTGAAAACACCCGTGAATCTCGGGCTGATCTTGTTCAAATGCAGATTCTGACTCAGCCGGTCTGGGCGGGGGGGGGGGGGGGGGGGGGGGGGGGGGGGGGCAGACTCAGCATTTCCAGCCAGGTGACCACGGTGGCTCCTGCCCTGGGGTTTGAGGACCCCTCTCTGAGAAACAGGTCCAGGGGATGGTGTTTCTGTGAATCATTAAGTCCATTTCGCAGGGACGAGCTGGTGCCCCTGAAGTCCACTGAAGTTAGGGAGGCAAGGGCTGTGGATTCTGAGCGATATCTGTGCTAAGGCCACGGAGCAGGGACTGGCGGGCAAGGAGAGGTCTCAGAGCCTGTGACATTCCTTGGCAACATCTTAGGACGGTAGGGGATGCCTGGGGAACCGGGTGGCCTTTGTGACTGCTTTTGTCAGGCTTTCTTCTGTGAGCTGTGGGGCTGGAGACCTGGGGCCCCCAGAGAGCAGCAGGAAGGGTGCAGACCACGAGGTGGAGGCTGAGGGGGGCTGGGGAAGGGGCAAGCCCCAGGTGGACACCAGACTGTCTCTTGAGCTGAGAGGAAGCAGCAGTCTGGAGGGTGCCAGGCCGCTGGGTGTGGTGTTCGGGCGGCGCCCACAGAACTGACCACAACTGAGTCAGCCCCGACTGAGTGGTCACGGGCTTGGTTGCTAAAGCCACCATTCGGGGGTGCCGCGTTCCAGGTCTGGACCCACATCTGGAGTCAGATGGGGTCAACACGGAATGTGGCTGGTGAATGGGGGGGGGGTGTAGGGCGGTGTGAAGTTGTTTTTCTGGGCTGCTGACGGATCCCGCCGAGAATTGCTTCCCAGTGGAATGCGAGCCTGGGAGGAAACTCACAGTGGTTTTCCTTTATAGATCTGGGTCCCTTCCTCCGAGGAGAAGAGCTGTCCTCCTATAGCACGCCAGGCCAGTGTGGCTACAAACAGGGATTCTGAGTTGACTGTTTGGCAACAGGCTCCTTTGCCTGACCCCTGGTGACTGATGGCGGCCATAGCTGTGTGGCTGGGAGACTGGAATATTACGGAGGCTTTGCCTTGATGCCATATGCAGATTTAATTTGTTACTAAAGCTGGTTCATCATCTGAATTTTGGAGAGCGATTCAGAAGAGGAAAACACGTTTTTATAAAGGAGTGCCCTGTGATCATCATTTTTCAGGCAGACAAGCACAGTGGTTAGGAAAGCTCAGAAGGGGGCCCCACGTGGCCGCTCCCAGAGGGGTGGGGTTCCTCAGCATCGGTCGGGGAGGCTGGCCCGAGACCTTGCGAGCCTTGCTGCTTGGAGAAGCCACCTGAGACATCAGGGCTCACAGGGTACTTCTGAAGAAATGAGAGAAGGCTGCTATCTCTGAGGAAGGCTCTAGGGCAGGAACAGTGCTGCCTTTTTTAAACAAATAGGGCATTGTGATCTAGATTTGCTTAATACCCTGTGGGAGAGAGCCTTTTGGGAAGGTTCCTGCCTCCCTGGGAGTGTCCGAGAGACCCTGGAAGGTGCTGTGCGGGTCCTCTGAGCACCCCGAATGGAGCTTGGCCTGTAGTGTCAGGGGTCCTGGCACCCCTCCGAGGCCTCCCTTCTCAGAGGGGCTGCTGGGGCCGAGTAAGATCGAGTGGGTGTTGGGGAAGCTGAGAGAGCAAGGGGAGGTGGTGGCCGGCGCAGGTGCGGCTGGTACTTGTGGGGCCTTCAATGAGGGAGGAGGTAGGCCTGGGGCTGGTGGGGCCAGTAAAGAGCGCAGGCTCCCAGCCCTTGCCGCTTACTGGCTCCCAGACCTTGGGCAAGTCCTTCACTTCCCTGTGCCTCAGTTTCTTTATCTGTAAGATGGGCTGAATGATAATACCTTTCACATAGGGCCTTTGGAGGATGGAGTTAATCCACCCCAAAGCACTTAGAGTGGTGCTCGGTGCACTTGATAAATGTTGGCTTTTATCCCCATCCTTATCATCATGGACACCAGGGGTCCCCAGAGCCCCAGAACCATCCACCAGATATGGGGACGAAATCCTGGAACTTTCATTGCTCTTATTTTAGTCTCATCCTTTTTATAAAAAATATTTTATTTGAGAGAGAGTACAAGCAGGGGGGAAGGGCAGAGGGAGAAGCAGACTCCCCACTGAGCAGGGGGCCCAGCGCAGGCTCCATCCCAGGACCCCGGGATCCGACCTGAGCCAAAGAGAGACACTTAACTGACTGAGCCACCCAGGTGCCCCTTGTCTCATCTTTTTTTCTTTATTTTGGATTGCTTCCTAGTGCTCTCATGGGGATAGGCTATACTTCATGGGATATATATGTCATTTAAATAAGCACGCATATATTTAATGATTATTTTTATCATTTATTATTTAATTACAAAACCTATGATTAAGTTTTTTACTGATGGGATTTCTGATTTAAAAATGTGGAGGCCGGGGGTTTAAAGGGAGACTCCTCCCATGTTCCCTGGAAGGTGGTGGTTGGCTCACACTCCCCGCCGGGCTTTCCATTCGCTGATACTGACGCCCGCCGTGGTTTTGGGAAGGACGCCCCGGTTGATACTGCGCAGCCTCCACTGCCCTGCTGTTTGGAGCGCGGGGGAGGGGGCGTCACAGAAGCACGTGAACCTCCCGGCCTCTCATCCCCAGCACCGAGGCCACTGCAGGCGCCCTCCCCCCAACCCCCGCCCGCGCCGTGCACCTGCCCCTCCCGACTCGCTTGGGCGCAGTGGTACCTGGAGGATGCGCTGTGACCCGAGCCGCTGTGGGGCTCCATTTTGCAGGAACCAGCTGCTGCACGTGCCCCTGAGGCAGCACCAGGTGAGCTGCTGCGACTGGCTGCTGAAGGTCATCTGCGGCGTGGTGTCCATCCGCACGGTGTACGCCTCGCACAAGCAGGCCAAGGCCTGCCTCATCTCCCGCATCAGCTGCGAGCGCGCCGGCGCTCGCTTCCACACCCGCGGCGTGAACGACGATGGCCATGTGTCCAACTTCGTGGAGACTGAACAGGTCAGTGCCCGGCCCGGTCGGTGGCGCCTGGTGGTTCGGAGGGGACATGGCCGTGCACGTGCGTTTCCGTTTGGGGCAGAAGAGGTCCAGGCATATTGGAGGTCATTTCTGGTGATCGTGGCTTCTCCTTCTGATTAGAGAACAGAGTCATTGGGGCTCTGCCTGCAAATGTGGCTTCCAGTTGGCCTGGGCTGTCTTTCTTGATTCACTTTTGCTTGGGTAATACTGCTTCCCCGAGGTACTTTCAGCTAAAAGGAAGCAGGAGTTTTTGCTCTGGTCATAAAGGGTGATAGTTATTTCAGAGGGCAGGCGATGGCTGAACCAGCAGGGTTGGCAAATCTTCTTAAGACGAAAAGTAGATCAGTAAAGCAGGGATGAGAGGAGAAACCATTTTTCATTCTAAATCAACCGGAGCATGTCTTAGCACCTGGGAGTCGCGAAATCTGCGTGTTCAGCAGCACTTGCTTTCAGCTTCCATGAATATAACCATCTGCTTAATATCTCATTGATTTTTTTCTCCCCCTAAATTCTGTTCTCATTCCCAGAGATGCTGTCTTACATTGGTTTTTTTTTTTTTTTCCTCTCTAGTTGCAAATCTGTAGGCTAAGGCCAGCTTGTAGACTGACAGGTGGAATAAATTATAAGAAAGGCAAACCCCATGAAAGGCACAGGTGCCGCGTGGCTGTGGGTGTCACGCTGCAAACAGCCTGTTTATTTAGCCTCGATGTGGCTTTGCATCCCCTCCTTCTTGCAGCCGAGAGAGGTGTTTTCTACCAGCACGTGAGCCAGTTTAATTCAGCACAGATCTGAGCACCTGCTTTCTGCGTGTGAGCTGCCCCCTGCTTGGGCTTAAGGTGAGGAGGTCCTCTTGGAGTCAGATGCTGAGGAGGAGGACTTTGGAACGGGAGCTTTCCGATGAGCCGCATCTTGCCTGTGATGGCTGTTCATTCTGTCTGCTCTCCTGGATATAAATAATATCTGGCTAAAAATGTCAGAGAAAATGTGGCCCCGAGATTGGAGGACATTTTCTTTTTTCTTGCTCATGTCCGAGTGATGGAAGGTACTTCCTTTCGTTTGCATGGCCCCGCCTACATTACCGCATCCCATCCCGATGCTTATCCTTGTGTGATGAGCCTTTGAATCAGTGCACTCAACAGATCGTTATTGTTTATCGCCTGCCAGGGGCTGAGCGCTGTGCCAGGAACTGGGGGCCAGAGGTGCTAAGCGTATTTGTACAAATCAAAATGCCCATGCCCCTGAACCTGGCAACAGAAGCAGATGGAAAAGGTTTTCATCTGCGGCACTGGAGCGTGGCCCCTGCCTTGCTCTCCATCCGGCTTTTGGGTAGATAGTCCCTTATTTACTCTTCTTGTTTGGTGCTTCCCAGAGTTGTGAGTTTCAACCTTTTTTTTAAAAAAATTGGGGTCTCATCTATTGTATCCTTATCAAGTAAGTCATTGGAAAAGCACCTGCCCTCCCTCTCACTGTTGTTCCTGAGAGATGGGCATTTTAACACTGCAAATCTGCTGTAACAAAGTGCCGCAGACAGGGCTTAAAACAACTATTATTTATTGTCTCACGGTTCTGGAGGCCAGAGGTCCAAACTCGGCGTGTTGGCAGGACCATGCTCCCTTTGAAGCCCCTAGAGGAGGATCCTTCCTGCCTCTTCCAGCTCTGGGGGCCCCCTTGTGGCAGCCCTCCCATCTCTGTCTCACCTCCATGTGGTGGCCCTCTCCCCTTTAACGAGGAGACCCCACCCTGTCCAGTGTGCCCCATCTTAACCGCATCTCCAAATAAGGTCACATTCTGAGTGCTGGGGATTAGGATTTCAACATATCTCTTTGGGGGACACAGTTGAACCCATAAAGACATAATTCAGTGTTAAGGGACAGTGCTTTAAATGCAGTACATTTAGCTTTGTGAAAAATCTCGATACTGTGCTTGCTTTTCTCATTTTTCTACAGACTAGGGCTGGGGACTTTGGTTATTTCATCTGTGTGGGCCTGGTGACCGGCATTTGTCCCATGCGCCCAACTGCTCGGGCTCAGAGACAGGGACCTTGTTTCCTCATGGCTAGCCCAGCAGGGCCTCAGAGACACCACCCGCCTGCCTTCTGGCTCCTGGAGCCTGCAGCCCCGTGCTATTTAAATGGCCTCCACCTGCCTCCCTTCTCAGGCTCGCGGAGGGATTCCCTGGTTCACGCAGCCTTTGCGGTCTTCCTAGTTCGTGCTTTCTCTCCCTTTTCCTCTTCTGGACTCTGGATCAGACCGAGGTTTTCTTGATGAAACCCTCAGCCCAACCTTGCTCTAGAAGCATCAGACAGGCCGACAGGCAGCCGGACACCCCCATCTGCTGTTCCCCCAGAGATGGGCGGTGAATGTGGCCCTCATCCGGGACCAGCATGGCTCCCTGGGCGCATGGTGATTTTGTTTTTAGCAGACATGTAACGGGGCAAGGGCATCATGGTGGCCTTGCCCCCAGAGCAGTTCTCTGTGGGGCTACTCCCAACAGACCACATGCTCTCCCAGGATGATTCATGCCTTCCGAGAGCCCTCAGACAGTGTGACCACCATGGTGTGGGGCCGGGGGGCAGGAGTGGCGGAGAAGGCCACCCCCAGGTGCAGGGAGGAGTCAGTTCAGAGCCGACTCCAGGTATGTCCTCGTTGGCAACAGGGGAGCAGACTCGGAGCCCCCCAGCTGAGTGTGGCTGTGAGCCCGCCCAGGCAGGAAGGCAGTAGGAACAGGACAGGCACCTTCACCGTCCTGGGAGGGCCCCCCAGTCGGTGCTCACGGACGCGCACAGCACCACGTGGGGCCGCCGTGGCGGGGCAGGAGTGAAGGCGTGCGCTTCCGAGGAAAGCGTCTGGCCGAGGGACACCCTGGCCGTGCCCTGGGAGCCGGCGCAGCCCGGACGGGGGGTCAGCCACTTCCCGAAGAGGTGGCATCTGCCGTAGGTGCGTCTTCCCCTTCCCTGAAGTGTTTTCAGAGGCAGGATGAGCAGCCAAGGCTGAAGGAAAGAAGCTGCTCCCCAAGAGACAAGACTCTGATGTTGCTCCCGCGTGTCCAAGACAGCCATTTTCTCCGTCTCTGCAATTGTGGAATGATTTTGTTGACAGCATTTTATAGCAATAGAAGTGCTTAGGTTGATCTCAGTTGTTTGAACACAAAAACCTTTTCCTAAGTGGAGTATATATGTAACCAGTGTTGCTGCCAAGCACACCTCTGCCTTCCTCCCTCCGCCACCTGCTGGTGAGGGGGCTTCTGGGTACGGGCGCCCGGGGAGGATGTGCAGGCTGCGGGCACCTGTGCGCTTGGCGGGGGGGGGGGGGCAGCTTGGGAGGGGGAGCTGCACAGTAACCGTCCGGGAAACCTGCTGAAACCCCGTTGAAGTTGGCCCATCAGGGGCTGCGGGGATGTGATGGGGGCCTGGAGGAGTCATCCCCGGGAGCCCGCATGGCCCGCTGCCTGACGTTTGTGGAACCGAGACTGTCCGGCCTGGGAAAGGATGGTGCTCTGGGGTAGCGTGCACCTGCCTGCAACCTTGGTCGCTTTGCTCAGGGTGACGGCAGAGTGTGCATTGCTTGCTGAGGCCTTCGAATCAAAGTGATGCCGTTTGCAGAGTGGGGTTGATTCGTTCCGGTAGCATGGTGTTGCCTGCTTTGTGACCCGACCGTGGAAGAAGGGCAGGCTTTGGAACGTGGGCTCCTCACCAGAGAGTGGCAGGCAGCATCTTGGAGGAAAGTGGGTGCTGAGCTGCAGCAGGAAGGGGTCTCAGCTGGGTCTGCTTGGCTCCTCTGGGCAGTCGCCCGTGGATCCCAGGCCCCTGCTGCAGAAGTGAGGCTCTTCAGACCCCAGCCTGTGGCCATGTGGGAGTGGGAATCCTTCACTAAATGCTTGAATGTGGCTGACGAATTGTGCCGTGCCCCTTTGCAAACGGTGGGACTAGACAGAGAGCAGGTGGGTCCCCTGAGGCGGGGTCCTTCCTAAATTAAATGTTCAGGGAGCCAGAAGAGGGAGATGCTTTCAGCACCACCCACTCTGCCTTGCTTTAACATTTTTCCTAAGAGGAATGAACAGGCTTTCTCCTCCAAGGCAGGCTGTGTGTGTGTGTGTGTGTGTGTGTGTGTGTGTGTGCACGTGTGTGTGCACGTGCACGCGTAGCATGTAAGTGTGCATGTTTCGGGGGGAGGGTTCGTGTGTGTGCACGCACAGGTGTGTGCATTGATGTGTGGTGTGTGAGTGCGTGTTTGTGGGGGGTTGTGTGTGGTGTGTGTGTGGTGCACACATGTGTGCAGGTATGGACTTCAGCTCAGTCTTCCTGGGAAGAAGCCTGGAGTCCTTTTGGCTCTGCTGTGAGTCATACCTGGTAGGATTGCTCTGCAGCCATGACTCACCATGCAGAAAAACAAACCCCAAAAAGTCCCTTTGGTCTACCAAAAGAAAAAAAAGAAGAGGAAAAGTATTTGGCTATTGAAGATAAGGCCACTGATTAATCTGGGAAGGCGAGGACGTCTGCGTGTCTTCCCAGGAATGCAGCAGACTTGAAAAGCACTGGTTTGCAAACACCTTACCTGGAAATGGAAGTTGAGCCAAAGCCTTTCAGATAAAAGAGTATCTGCTGGCTTGCAAGTCTCCCTGCATTATCCCTTTCTTTTTAGGGTCCTTGGGTTTCTGCTCCCACCACTCCGTGAAAGGGGCCACTCTGAGTTGCCAAGGCCAGGGTGTCTCAGGCCCAGCGTGGGCTCGCCACCGCTCAGCCATGGTGGACTCCCTCCCACCCCATGTGTGTTCCTACAGTCCCGCTCCCCACAGCCTAAGCCCTGCTCCCCCAGTGCTCTGACCCCTGCCTGGTCTGTCAGTCCTCTGCAGGGGCCCTCATCCACACTCCTGGGCAGTGTTCTCCTGCCCTCGAGCGCAATGAACCACCGCCCTGCACTGGGATCATCTTCCCTCGTTACTCATTTACTCCTCCCTGCGACCAGGTGACAGTAACTTCACCAAGAGAGGGAAACTGAGGCCCAAAGTGGTTAAGGAATGTGCCCAGGGTCACCCTGCAGGGCACATGGGAGCTGGCAGGTAGAAGGTGCTGTCCCAGAGCCCATGAACTGACCTGCTCCCCTGTTCCACCCTCCTCTCCCCTCCCCCCAGGATCCCGATGCCCTCTGTGAAAACCACTTCTGGGAGGCGAGGCGTCGAGTCTGCCAGAAGTATTAAAACCTCTGTTCTTTAGCTCAGAAGAAAAGCACCACTGGCTTTGTCAGTGCTGGCTTTGTCTTATCACCTTGGCAACAAAGAAGGTGGTCCTGATGATGAATGGGACGCAGAACTGGAATATCTTCACGTGGGAGGGAGGAGTGGAGAAATCAGAGGCATCTTTTCTTCCTGTCCCAGGGGTGGGGTCTGGAGTGTGGGGCCTCCTGGGGGTTATTTTCTGAAGCCCCTTCTCCCTGTGCAAGTTCCAGCTCAAGAGGAGTGTGGTCTGATGCTAGAAGTAGCTCATTTAGCACATGTTAAAGTGAAGGGTAATAGTTCCATAGCTTAAATGAGGTCCTGGCGCTGTTAAGGGCTATCCTTATAGAGAAATGTTGGCTAAATTGGTTTCTTTCTCACTAATCCGGACCTGTAAGCTTTTAATCTCCCTGGAGTCAATGATGCCTACATTAGTTTAAGCAATCTGCTACTTTCTTCTAGTTTTGGTTGTTTGTTTTGTTTTAAGATTTTATTTATGAGAGAGAGAGAGAGAGAGCGCACAAGCTGGGGGGAGGGGCAGAGGCAGAGGGAGAAGCAGACTCCCCTCTGAGCAGGGAGCCCAATGTGGGTCTTGATCCCAGGACCCAGGGATAATGACCTGAGCTGAAGGCTTAACGGACTGAGCCATCGAGGTGCTCCTGGTTTTGGTTTTTGGTTTTTATGGGGTTTTGTTGTTGTTGTTGTTTTTAGTAGAATAATAGGGCGTAGCAAATTTGCTGGTAGTCCGTATCTGGAAACAGACAAGTTCTTAACCCAGTGCTTTTCCCTTTGGAAAAAGGAGTTCAACTCAACTCTGTAGCTGCCAGGCTCCCGTAATTCCCGTTGTTCCAGGGAGCTGCGCATCTGATGCTCAGGTCCTCTGCCGCCGCAGAATTACTAATGCATGTGTGATCTGAGCGTGATCTAGCCTCACAGAAAACTACCCTGTAAGGGAGCAGGCTGGTAAGAAACGGAAAGGATCAGCAGCATAGCCCAGGCTGGCCCTGCCAGGCCAGGGTAGAATTACTCAGATAAAGGACAGTGCATCTGATAGTCGCTGCAGCCTCCCCTCGTGATGCTCAGGACAGTACTTCTTGTCCCTGTAACACTGCCTTGCATACAGTGTCGGGGGGGGGGCTGCAGATAGATGAGCTGGTACACCCCGAAGTAACGGTGTGTGTGGTGGGGGAGGAGATCTATTCTTTAGCGGGTGAGTATCCTCTGCTTCCAGGCAGGCGCTCCCCACTGGAAGCCTGTGGAGGCTGTGTGGCGTATGTTGACTTAGTGATGGGTTTAAGAACACGGTGGCATAGGGCCAGAAGCAACTGCAAGTTCAAGTCAAGTCTTGACCTGCGTTGTCAAGTGCAGTGTCAGTAACTCGTGTGGTCACCCCGGTCTTCTGGCCATAGCTTGTTTGTTTCATCCATCCCTTTGCAGTTGCTCTCTGCTACTTAGCTAGTTGACAAGGTGAAAATAGAGGGCTCTAAGGAAAGTCTTAGTTAAATTCCAGAGCACATTTGCTTCTGTTCCTACAGTGGGGAGCGGGGAGGCATTGCTGGGCTTTCCAGGGAGCTGGGGAAGGCTGTGTTTAGTCCCGGGCGGCTGTGGCTCTCCCCAGGGGGCCCTGTGCCCACTCCAGACTCCTTGGAGGCTGGTCAGCCACCAGCATGCCCGTGAGCACACGGGGCTGGCCTTGGGTCAGGGAACAGTGAGGCCAGGCTGGCCAAGGGAGCCGAGGGCACAGAAGTCTCCTGTCTGCCCTTCATTCGGGCTGGTGTCGGGTCTCAGGCGGCCGGATCCCGTTACCCGGCCCCAGGACATTCAGTTTCATTGAGGAATACTTTCCCTTTATGTTTCCTTGTGGTGCAGACAATTTACATGGATGACGGAGTGTCGTCTTTTGTCCAGATCAGAGGCTCCGTTCCACTGTTTTGGGAACAGCCTGGGCTTCAGGTAGGTAATGAAAAAAGTAAGTCACCTGCCTCTCTCTTCTGAACAACTGTGGTTTGTTTCTTTTAACCGTATTTCCTTCAGTTTCCAGGCTTGTTCCTCAGGTCCGTTGGATTGAGCTGAGCTGCCGAAGTCTGCACACCTCTGTGTGTGTGTGTGTGTGTGTGTGTGTGTGTGTGTGTGTGTGTGTGTGTGTGTGTGTGTATGCATGCACATGTGTGTGTTCGCGTGTGTGTGTGTGGTGTTTATATACAGAAATGTATACATCGTGTGTAATCTTCTGACCCTGAGCTTGCTGTTAATGCAGGGTCTGTCTCCTGGGAAGAGTTCAGGGCATGGCACCACATTCCAAGGGAGACCTTTGCTGATGGCACCACATGGGAAGGGAGGCCTTTGCTGATGAGCAAGCCACATAATGTAATTGAGTGGAATTACTTTGTTAGCCCCCAAGTTCAGTGTATGGAGAACACGGCCAAAGATGTTTTTTGAGAGCCGAGACCATCCTACGGGGGCTTTGAAAGGTTTCCAGGCCCTAGTGGCCATGCAGCAAGTCCGATGGCCAGAGGGAGGTACCTGCTGTGGGAGCACGTGAGAATGGCACGGAACTTTCCCGTGATTTCTAAAAATACACCTTGCAGTCTAAAACAGGGCTCTGGTCCGTGCCAGAGGTATTTGGCGTTCTGTCTCCTGGGAAGAGTTCAGGGCATGGCACCACATTCCAAGGACACGTTTGTCGTCCATGGAACTGTGCACTGCCTCGTTTTCGAGTTCCTTCCCCGGAGGGTCACGGGCCGAGTGGGTCTGAGGTTCCTCAGCGTCGACCCCAGACCTTGCCATCTGGCCCAAGCAATCGTCTGTGTGCCCAGAAGACCCCCCTTGCCCAGGCCTCTGTGGTTCCGGCTCCCCTTACCAAGGGCGCTGCGTGTTGGCGGTTGGGCTGTCAGCAGTGCCTCAAGAGGCTCAGGGCCGTCTGCCAGGTTCTTGGGGGCTGTTTGCCACCACTGGGTCTCTCGCCGGCCCTTGACTTGACCCCGTGGCAGCAGGAGGCACTTTGTCCACGTGGCTGTCATTGTGCCGTTGACAGCCTTGATAAGGAACCATGTCAGTTCCTGGAGGGAGGTGGAGGCGTGAGGGTCTCCTGTGGGGTCTGACTTCTGGTGGAGGGAGAAGCTTTTTCAGCCTTCAGTCTTCCCATCAGAAAGGAACAGCTAAGATGTATGAGGCTGGCTGGTGGCATTACGTGGCGGCATGGACAGACATTCCTGAGGGTGATTAGGACAGGGAAGATGATTCTGGAGCTCATCCCAAAACAGTTCTTTTAAATGGCTTTATCGTGATCTAATTTATATGCCATAAACTCCACCCATTTAAAGCGTACAATTCAGTGGTTTTTAGTGCATTTATAGAGTCATGGAGCCAATCACCGTGGTCTAATTTTAGAGGACTCATCACCACTAAGAACCCTGTCCCCGCTGGCTGTCACCCCTCTCCGTGACCTCCCAGCTCTCCCCAAGGCCAAAGCAACAGCCAGTCTATTTTCTGTCTCTATAGATTTACCTGTTTGGGACATTCCAAAAAGGATTTTTGAAACTTGATTTTCTTTCAATTTGGAGTTTTCCTTCTGAAACTTCTGGAGCTCTGTATTTAGGAGAATAAAAAGCAAACATCAAGTGAGTAGGGGATAAAAAGGAAGCAGGAGACAATGTTAGGTTTCACGTGAAGACTTTAAGAAATCCAGAAATTGGGGGTGGTCGTGATAGTCTTGGAATTCGGGCAGGAGCCTGTGAAATTCATCCCCTTCACCCCTGTGTCCAGTTCTGGGTCCTTCTGACCTCCGACGCTGACCCTGAGATCAGGATTTGGGATGGCCGATGTTACCAGCGGTCTCCTCCCGGCCTTACAAGCTGCCTGTCTGCAGGGCGTTGCGGGGGGCGCATCCGAGTGAGTCTGATTCCCCAGACTTTCGAGAAGCTTCTCCCTCTCTCCATTGTGTCTTGCCCGAGGCTCTCCAGCTCTTGGCATCTTCCATCCCATTTCTAGGACTCTCCATGTTCCGGTCTCCCTCTTCCCAAAACAAAGCAAAACTGGTCTGTCATCCCCCTCTTTAATTTTGGTCCCCAGCTTGACCCACTTGATGCAGCCTGACCCTGACATGGAACAGCTGTCCCTCAACCCAACATGGGCAGCCTCAGTGGAGCTCGGGGGGCCAGGAGCTCGCTTTTGGCAGCCGTGGTGCCTTTTAGATTCATAACACTTGTACCGCCCCAGAGCCTCCGTGGTTTCTTCAAAATAAGTTTCCAAAGGCTCTAGTGTTTATTAATCTTACGGAGGATTTGCTAACCTTTGGGTCTGATACCCATGTTTATCATGGGTATCATCATCATTACCATCAAAGAGAGATTAGGTCATCTTCAGGGCGACCGGGTTCGGTGATGGTCTGCAGTCACCCGCCTCTCTGAATTACCAATGGCAAGCGCGAGGATTGATTCTGGTTGTTTGTCTCCCCTCCTTCTTAGGTTAGATGAAAAATGCAAAGATTTTTGGGCAGACAACTTGCATTTTAAATTGCAGTGTTGCACCCTCTTGGGGGCTCTCCCTGGGAACCGATGCGCCCTCCCAGAGATAGGGCATAGGGGTGGGGACGGGCAAAGGGGACTCAGGATGATGATTTGTCTGCACGTTTTCACGGCAGTGGTGCCTTCCTTACAAACTCCTGGATCCTGACACCATTTCGAGCCACCGTGTGCCTTTCACAATTTCCTCTTTACCATGTAAACAGCTTTGCAGTTTATAAATAGCCACACTGAAATCTTACACTTAAAGCTAATTGCTCTCCTGGTATGGTTAGTGAGGGAATATATTCTTTCTATACTTTTAGTCCGTTGAAGATTTTGCTCCCCTGTCACACGCGTATACCGACGGGTCTTGCCAGGGTGAGTTAGGTCTCTGTTTTGGAAGCTTCCTGTGACGTCAGCAGTTGGAGGAGGATGCAGATTAGTCCCCTCTGCTGTTCCCACCTTGCCTACACTCTACACTCGCCTCCTCCCTGTCACACCCTGTTCACTAGGCTCTTGGGTACACGGCACTGTATGTGCTCCTTTGTGTAGTTGTACTTTTTTTGGTCCCCAGAAGGATGTGAGATGCCTTGTAGCGCGACAGTTTCCAAAAATAAGACGTTGGGTTGAGGGAAACATCCTCCTAATGCAAACAAACCGAATCCGGGAGAGAGTCGCGCACGCACTGCGGGCCCCGGGTCTTGTGTGTTTGCATGAGCGAGCTCCTGTGTTTCCCAGCAGCCATCGCCCAAAGAACCACGATCGAGAGGCAGCTTCTGCTGTGATTCAGAGCATAAACTTAGCCATGATAGGCCCTGGTTCCAGTTCAAGTTCTGGTTCCCTTGGCTTAGGGGCCCTATTCTTTCGACAAGTCTTTATCTCAGAATAAGGTTCTTATCAGAAACAAAGAACCCGAGAAGTTCCTCTCTTTGCCCAGCCTTAGTTTATTCTTCTGTAAGTGGGGTTAACAGTCAACCTCACGGGGTTATGGAGAGGTTACGTCACGGCACATAGTAGAATTCAGTGCAGTTTCCAGAACCCGGAGGGTGCACAAGTGGTAGCTGTTAATATTTTTAACGTAAGTTATACCATCTAGGAGACAAGAACACAGGTTGCATTGGGAGAACATGGCTCTTTGCACCCAGAGAGTGGAATGAGAGCCTCGCCCGTGAGGTGGGGACAGTGTCCACGTGTCTCTCTATCAAGACAAGGCCCAAGGACGAGGCTGCTGGTGTCCCATCGCCCCGCCCTCAGAGCAAGCCATTTGTTCATCCCAGAGACACTGAGCATCTGTGGGTGCCTGGGGGCACTTTACGTCATAGCCCCTGCCTTTGGGAGGAGGTCATGACAGGCTGGTGTGAGTAGAGCCCATGAAAGAGGAGGCCAAGATCCCTAGGGCAGCTGTGGGGAGGGTCAGCTCGGCCGCTGAGGGGGTGAGTGTCTGAACCGACTCGGGAGGGACGGGGCCACAACGCCCAGGCGAGGAAGGCAGCCTGCAGAGGCGACCACACGTGCGGGTGTGGCGGCCCAGTGGTCTCAGCGTGTCCAGGGGGTTGCAAGGCTTGCTGCTCACAGCCCAAGGCACGGGGACCGTGGCCAGACATCAGACCGGAAGGGCAGGCAGGGGCCAGATGGAGACACTAAGGAGTTTATGTTTTACTCCAGGAGCTGCTAAGGGCGGGGGGGGTTGGGGGTTGGGGGGGGCGCCCTGACTTGGCTGCACTGGGTATAGAAGAAGAAACTTTGGGTTGTGATTCGGGGAGAGGCAGACATGTCCATTAACAGAACTTGTCACTAAACACCAGGCTTCTGAGCCCTGGACCATTGTTTTTCTACTCTCCCCTTACTGCCTTCCCCTGGGAAGGATTCTGAAAACAGCCGCAGCTTATCCAGGGGAGATTTCTGGCCCGGACGGACAGGCTGACCGCGCAGCAAGCAGCCCCTTCTCTTGGGCTTCAGCCCTCGGGGATCTCGGGGACGGTGGCTCAGAGGCACGTGGGCCTGCTTTCTGCCGGTGCCCACCTCGTGCGTTCCGAAGACAGGAGCTGACCGGCCTCGGAGTGCCGGAGAGGGCGGTCTTCTCAGAACTCGGGCTGTGCAGGTTTTGGGGGTGAACTCTCGCGTTCCTCAGCCAGGTGTTGATGCCTTTGGGGAGAGGAGTGCAGAATAAACACAGCAGCAAAGTGAGAGTGATTGGTGGAGCCTCTCCTAAGGACTCCCAAGATTTCTTAGGACCAAAAGGGACTTGGGACTTTATTTGTAGAATCATTTAGACGGACACGCCTAATCCCAGTGATTTCTAAGTCTGTTGCTGAGAAGCCCATTGTCTAGAGTGGCTCTTTCCTCGGGTATGAAGAGGGACGGATGTATGACCTGTGGCAGGAAAACTGGGAAATAACAGTGGCCCCCAATGGTGCAGACAAGCCTAATGACACCATGTTTGTAATGCCCCATAACCAGCAAAGCCGAACAGTACACTTCAAGAAACGTTCTATCTTAAAATAATTCCAGACCTACAGAAAAGTTGTGGGAACGGTAGGGAGAACTCCCATGCATCCTGACCCAGATTCACTTGATGTGAACCCCTTGCTGCCCCCACACATGTGATCCGCTATTTCCCGAACCCCTGGAGAGCGGGTTGCTTACATCACGTCTCCTTACTTAATATGTCGGGACGTTTTTCTTGAAGGTAGATATGTTCTCCTGATCAGCACAGGATGGGTACGCGGTCAGCAGGTGTGACACGATGCTCTAAACTGACCTGCAGTCCACATTCAAGGTTTATCGATTGTCCCCATACTGTCCGTCATGGCACCTTTCCCCCTTTGGTCAGGGATTGGGACGTGATCCTGCCCTGTGTGTCACTGTCACGTCTCTAGTCTCCTTTGATCTGGATCAGTTCCTCTGCCTTCTGTCTCTTGGACACTGACATTTTTGGAGAATGCAGGTCTTCTTTTTCTTTAAACCCAAGGTGCCTCATGTGGGGGTTTCCAGGTGTTTTATTATGATTGGGTTCATGGTGTGGGTTGCTGACCCCACCACATCCTTGTCAGAGTGCCCCATCCGTGTCCCACGGTGGCCATGTGCCCCCTCATTAGTGATGTTAGCTTCCATCACTCAGGCACGGTGCTACTCAGTTTCTTTCCTTATAGTTACGGTGTCTTCCTTTTCAACTCATAAGCATCTATGAGAGACTCAGACCATGCTAGGAACCTATGCCCATCAGACTCTCCCTGAACATTTATGATCAACAGGTGCTTTTTGCTGAACCATTCTTTACTATGGTGGTTGTAAAATGGTGATTTTTCCACCACTGTAACCACATTTATCGATTGGTGTTCTACTGTAAGGGAGAGCCCTCCCTTCCCCCCATCCACCTGCCCACCTCCCTGTCCGTTCATCTGTCCACTCATCCACCCAGTCAGCCAGCTCTCGTCTGTAGAGATTTGTGAATTTCTGTTTCAGTCATCAGATTATAATCCATTACTGTCCTTTATAGTTCAGTGCTCACACTGTCCCAGATTTGTCCAGGGAGAGCTTTTTTAAGCTGGCCCCAATAACAATACATAATTTTAAGTTTGTTTCTTAAACTTTTGATGTTAAATAGGTAATTCTAAATCATAAGGCATCTTAGTTTGCAGGTAGTTATAACTCAGATTTTAGGGTGGTCGAGGTCCCCAGACTTGCAGAGGAGGCTGAGAAGTGGTTTCTCTCTCCCTGGTTGGCTTACGTTCACCTCTGCAGTCTGACATGGGTCTCATCGGCTGACCCTGAAGTTTCTCTTCTGCCTTTGGAAGAATTCCAGCCAGCGTGGGGTCCATGCGGCATTTGGGATGGGCTGCAGCAGAGCCAGACTCGGGCTTCGGGACCTGAGTTCAAGGCGGGCCTTCCAGATCTGTGCATGGGCCACAGGAGGGGCGAGAGGCTGCCACGTGTAGCCTGGCTGGCAGCGAGGGGGATGGGGAAGACCATCACTTCCTGGGTTCACGGAGCAGGAAGAATCACTAGTGTTTCTCTTTGCTTTAGGTTGGCTCTCATCATCTGAGACTCAACAGAGGCCTAGAAGCCAACGCCCCTGCTTTCGACAGGTAGGACTGTTTGGCACCATCCTAAGCCCGTCATCCTTTTGAGAGTCTTCCCCCCGCTCCCTGGACAGAAGCACAGGGGACAGCGGGAGGGGAGGGCCCTACACCCTGGACCTGCATCTGCCTTTTACTTTAGTTCTTTGGGCAAGAGGGGAGTGTACAAAACGGGATTTTTAGTGGCTCTCAGGTTTTCCTGAAAGTTCATTAATACTGAGGTAACCTTTGGCAATGATTTTATCTTTCCAGTTCGTCCTTCAATGAAGCTTTGTCCCTTTGTCCTAGTTAACAAGGGACAACCTAAATTATAGGGTATTTGTGGCTGCTTGTTTTTCCTTTAAAAGCGATACATTCCCAGACTTAAAAAGTCTTAGTATAGAAAGGTATAAAGTGAGAAATAAAAGTACTGTTAACTTCCAGTTCCCGCTACTAAAGATTTCACTATTCGTTTTTGATGTGTCATTCTAGAAAACCATTTGGCAGATATACAGCTCATTTTCTGAACCACAGACTGGACCATTACACGTTTCCTGTTGTGGAATTTTCTTAAGAATAGCTATCGCTCAACTGAACAGTAACTTATATTTGACATAGTTAATGTCTTCTTAAAATATTTGCGTTTTTAATCTAAATACTAATTTTAAAAAATTAGTGAATGTCATAAAAATTCCAAGAGTGATTTTTTTTTTCCCAAGGGTGTTAATCGTTCTGCCTGAAGCTTGATTTGACTGTTAAATCCGTGCACATCCTTCTTGTTTACCGCAGACTGGCACGTCAGCCTGACGGTGACCGTGAATTAGCACATGGGGTGTGTGTACATGAAGATCCTCTTGCCTGTTTTCAGAACGCTGTTAACGTGTTCTGTGCATTGTGTAGATGGCGTCGTTGTAGGAGACACTGAGCTGCATTAAATGTCCTTGGGAAATTGAAAATGAGATTTCCTCCCTAGCTGATCACAGTAGAAGGGAAGGGACATGCATGCGGGGCTTGTTTCAAAGCCTTGTGTTGATGAGCTTTATGTGTGTGTGTGTGTGTGTGTGTATTTTTTTTAAGAATGTTCACACTGACTTAAATATTTTTAAATCCTGTTAGTACATGGTGTGTGCCCCCGAGGATAGGCCCTCTCTTCTCGCAGGAGCCCATTCAAGGCCGTAAGCCCTTTGACGGGACTGGAAATGTGGCTCACGACACGCTGCCTTCCTAAAGCGGTCTAGCCAGGATGGGGCTGCCCCGCCTCACGTTGGGTGCTGCCCCGATACGCTCATGGCAGCGCCGTGTAGGAGCTCGGGCTCATGATTCTCCAGCAGACCCACTGCAGGGGGGCACTGGGGGTCCCAAGGGGCAGGGCTGCAGACCCCTGGAGGGGTGCCCCATCTCTGGCACATCAGGGGGCTCTCAGGAGTTTCTCCCTTCTTTGATGTGTTTGGTCCAGAGTAAATCCCTTACCCCCCCAACCTCCCCCACGAAACCCCTTTCCCTGGGTAGTTTGAGTACACACGGAATACCTGTGGCCAGTGCTGTACTGTTCCCTAGGTTGTTCATTGTTCCCTCTTGTCCACCTTTCGTCCAGGGGAGAGAAGGGGGTGCACTGAGCAGGCCTTGGCTGCGCCGGCCTGAGGAGGATCTTGTTTCGCTGGTAGTTTGGATGGAAGTGTTAACCTCTCATGGTGGGCGGCGCCTGGGTCTATCTCACCTGTACGGGCTGCTGGCCCCCCACTCCTTCCTCCCTCTCTTTGCGCGGAGCTGCTTACATCTGTGGTCCCGGGATGGACCCTAGGGTGTGTTTCCCTGCTGGCAGCTCTGTTACGCCCTGCTTCCCCGACTCCTCATGTCCCAAAAAGCCTCCCAGTTCTCCAAGGAGCTCCACACAAAGGTAACGGGCGGGCAGGCAGGGGAAGGGCCCCGGGTGCCCAGAGCATGGAGGCCGGGCTGAGTCTGGCTGGTCTCCGGCTGGGCTCCAGCACTTCCCCTGGGAGCCCTGAGGTGAGTCTTAGTGTATCACTAGTAAGTGTATTATCTTATTTTAAAATTAAAAGGAAGGAAAGGAGGGCACCTGGGTGGCTCAGTCGTTAAGCGTCTGCCTTCGGCTCGGGTCGTGATCTCAGGGTCCTGGAATCAAGCCCCACATCGGCTCCCTGCTCAGTGGGGAGTCTGCTTCTCCCTCTCCCACTGTGTGCTTGCTTGCTCTCTCTCTCTCTCTCTCTCTCACAAATAAATAAATAAATATTTTTAAAAAGGAAAGGAAAACCATCTCCGCTGTGCCAAGGACTGACTTGTCACTTTTTTTTTGCTTTTTAGCCCTCCTTTTACAGGACGAGGATTAGCTTTATGGTGCAAAGGAACAGCTCAGAAGGGATGAATAATTTGATCAAGGGTGCTTGGGGCTGGTGTGATGGGCGATATTGTTTCTCTTCCAGCTCTGGGTTTAGAACCTATTGAGATACAGGGTCACACATCAGCCTTATTTCTGATAAGCTGCATTGTGGGAGTCAGCTTGCAGGTGTGGCCACAGTGGGCTTCCTTGAATTTCACCCCCAAATCATGAGTGCTCACTCAGTGGCCCAACAGAGTTGGGCAGCTCAGACTTGCCACCAGAGCAGAGCCTGCCCTTTGGCTCCATGTATCTGACCTCTGGCCAGGACACACTTTCCCCGGGCAGGCAGACCCAGGAGAGCCCAGAGGGGCTGAGCCATGCACACTCCATCTCTTCTCAGACCCTCACCCTGAGCACAGGCTTTGCAGAAGCCCCCAATTGCACCAGTCTGATTGAGCCCTACCTCCTCCCGGGGCAGGGACTCCACAGGGAGGGCGGGGCTGCCAGGTGCATCCTTGAGCTCACCCTTACCGAGTCAGCAGAGGACCTAAATTCAAAGTACCCCTTTCAGAATCCATATTCTACTAGACAGTGCTAACCCCTCAAAGTTGGTAAGAGAGTGTCTTTTCCTTTATTGGGCTAAAATTGGTTCTTTTGTGCTAATTAGCGTAAAAAAATGTCATCCTAGAAATTTGGGAAATACAAAAATCTGTAAAGAAGAAAAAGATTTTAAGTCACATAAAATTCCACCACTTTTAATATTGTGGCGTGCTATCTTCTAGTCTTTTTTCTATCTTTAGGCATGAAGAATACGTGATGAAAATATGGTTTACATTTGCTTTTGCTTTTTGTATTGTCTTTTTCCTTGTATTTTTTTTAAATTACATTTAAGCACTCCTACCATTATTAAGATTGTAAAGTTAACTTTTCAAAAGCTGGTGATAAAGGATAAATATTAGTCTTTCCCTAATATTTCAACATCTGTATATTTTTTTAAAGATTTCATTTATTTTTTTATTTGAGAGAGAGCACGGGCAGGGGAGGAGCCAAGGAAGAGGGAGGGGGGAAGAATCTCAAGCCGACCCCATGCTGAGCATGGAGCCAGACTCAGGGCTCGATCTTAACGACCCTGAGATTGTGACCTGAGCCAAAACCAAGAGTCAGATACTCAACCAACTGAGCCACCCAGGTGCCCCGCAACGTATGTATTTTTTTAAAAGTCTCTGATCTATGAATATTTTTCTAAAGCCTGAAATTTTACTGTGCCTTCTTGCTTGGTTTACACATAATTACACATAATGAAATAGGGCACTTAGATAACAGACACTGAGGTTAACAACCCTCCTACCAGCTTTTCTAGTTTAGAGAAGGAAGGTACCAAGTATATTAGAGATTAATTTCAGAAATGTAGCACATCACACTTCTTGGGCTCTGTTAATAAAAGGCCAAGTTAGCTGTTCTAGATTTAATAGTGGTCCCTTACAGAAAGTCCAGCGTATCCTCCATCTGATGTTATGCTTATGTAGAAGTCTGATAGGCTGGGAATTATTCTTGGCCTGAGCCTTGCGTGCAGACTGTTGACACACTTGTCCCTGACTGTGGGGTTGGTGGCTGGGAGAGACTGGTTTTCTCCCCCCAGCCACCCCCGCAACCAATTTTGGGTCCTGGGGAACAGCTCCTCCCGGACCTCTGGTGCCAAGCAGGTCCCTCCTGCACCCTGTGCCCTCGAAGGTGGGGCCACCAGTCTGTGTGCTAGTGATACGGGTCACCGCGCTGTTCCGTGTCCTCGAGGATGGGGCCGCCAGTCTGTGTGCTGGGGACACGGGGTCACCGTGCTGTCCCATGTCCTCGAGGCTGGGGCTGCCAGTCTGTGTGCTGGTGACACGGGATCACCGTGCTGTCCCATGTCCTCGAGGGTGGGGCCGCCAGTCTGTGCTGGTGACACGGGGTCACGTGCTGCGCTGTTCCATTGCAGGCATATGGTGCTTCTGAAGGAGCAGTATGGGAAGCAAGTGGTCGTAAACCTGCTAGGGAGCAGAGGCGGAGAGGAGGTGCTCAACAGAGCCTTCAAGGTAAAGGCCATGGTGCTTCTCGGCCCCGAGAGGCGGTGGGTGAGGGACATGAGGGCCCCGTGCGGAGGCATGCTTCCATGCAGGACTGAGAACAGCACTGCTCTTACCATGCTTGGGGAGTTCTTTCCCACCAGCTCTGTCGCATTAGGTGATTTGGGCTTCTGATATGTGAAATTTAATTTTTATGAACTGATGGTTAGAGAATTTGCTCAAAGTCAAACAAAGCATCTCCCACCTCCAGCTGCATTTCCTCTGGGGCTCCCCCTTGGAGGGCTGGGGAGAGCCAGGCCTCTCTCCCTGGTTCTCTTAGACACACACACACACACACACACACACACACACACACACTCTCTCTCTCTCTCTCTCTCTCTCTCTCTCTCTCTCTCTCTCTTCGCCCCACAGTCCCTGACTACGGGAGCCTGAGCTCCCCTTCCTTCTCTGGCTCTGCTGCTGGACAGAGCCTCCTGGTGCACTCACCCGAACACCTGCAGGGCACTGGGCCTGGAGCAGTGGTTCAGAACTCCTCAGTTTAAAGCAAGGAGTCTTAATGGGATTTCCTCCCGCTAACTTCAACCTTCAAATCTTCCATCCCTGTCTGGGCTCTCCCTGAAAGCAGCTTCCTTTGCCCGGCTCCCCGTGGGCTCCCAGAAGCCCCTCCGGGCAGCTTCAGGGGTGGGGGTGTAGGGGGATGGGGGCCTGAGCAGGGAAGGAACCGATTGAAGGAACAGCTCCACCTACCTCGCCGAGGCCTCTCCCTGTTCCCAGAGCTCCTGAGTGTATTCAGTCTGCTAGGTGAAAAGCTCCAGAATGAGCTGTGGGCGACGTCCATGTTCCTTTCCCAGTGGCCCGTGTCCCCCAGTTAACAGAGAAAAGCCCTCTGGCTGTTCCAAAATCCAGGAAGCCCCTTCTGGGGGAAGTGAAATCGGACCTCAGCTCATGGGAAGCAGTGTTTGCTGCCTCCCTGACTCCTCACCTCTGGCCAGTAGGAGCTGAGCCCAGTGGGTGCTCCTTCCACTCCGCTCAGAAAGGCCATGTGCTCAGAGCAGACTCTCTGGTGGCCAGTTTCATTTGGCCAGACCTGCTTGTCCTGTTTGCTTTGTTGCTGTTGGCAATAAGCTTGCTGAGTATCTCGCCTCCCAACCATCTTGGCAGCAACCCTGATGGCTTATTTTAAGGAAAAAGAAGGAAAGAAACAGAATCTCTTTTCCCTTTATGTCTTGAGTTATGGAGAGGGGATGTCCTCAGCACCCCATCCGTCAGCAGACGTGCCCCCTGCTGACGGGCTCTTTGTCACGAGTCGGCCAGGAGGCAGCAGTGATCCCGTGGCCCCAGGTGGAGGAGGGCAGGCTGCTGGGCAGGGAGGAGGGAGGAGGGGGATGCCGCCTGGAGGAGACCCCCTGGTGTCACACCGAGCGGCGGCTCCCTCAGCCCTGAGGTCCATGCGCCAGCCGCCGACCTGAGGTCCTCAGGCCACGACCCAGCAAGGGGCTCACTCCAAAATGTGACGTCGCGAAGGAGTACACTACTCAGTTCCATGGGCTGCTTTTTCCTAGCAAGACTCTCCGGATGGTCACAACCATGCGCTGACTGGTATTCTGGCTCACAGTGGATGGGCACTTTGAGTTGCAGGGACCAGAAGGCCCAGAGCCCTTCTAGTCTTTCAAGGTCCTTAGAGACTCTGGACAAGTCTAACCTGAAGCTATGCAGGAGGGTGCAGGGTGGGACAGGCCTGAGGCCAGGTGCCCTGAGGAGGCTGCCGGTTCATCTTCTACCACAGGGCTCCTGAGAGAGCTCAGGAGTCGCCCGGGAGGTTCCTCGTGTGGGACGGAGGCCTCGGTGAGGAACACCCCGCTGCCTGGAGCCCACCTGCTATGCGTTCCCATCTCTGGCCTCGCCTCCCCTCCAGGTCCTGCGCCAGCCTGGGCCCACGGGCCCCGACCACGCGTTACCCCATCCCGCAGTCTCACTGGGCTGGACCCAGAGGACCCTGATGGGAGAATTGGGCACCAGTGAGCACACCCGCCTGAGGCTTACGCTTGTCAGGATGGGGCTGGTTACCATATCAACAGGGAGCTGGATTATGAGCTCCACAGCCTGCTGGGCTGCCCTGTCCCTGGCGGGCCGGTGACACCTGGGTGCCGGCAGAACAGAGTGGTCCTTCCCTCCTCGGCGCCCTCCCAAGAGCCCTGCGGGAGGGTGATGTCGGTTCAGGGCTGTGAGCCAGGGAACCAGAGCTGCTCCAGCTGTCTTTTGCCCGGGCTGGACCTGCCCCGCTGCAGGCAAGATGCTCTTTGCAGTATTGCCCTCCGAGTCTTTGTTCTTCCGTTTCGGGGTCAGCACGGATAGTCAGCTCGGTCCCCCATACGCCTTCAAGCTAAAGCGTGTGCCCTAGCAAGCGCCCCGATTAGCCTCCCCACCCCCAGCCATGAGCGGTTTGTGGTCACCGTGTCCCTTCCCTCGCTCTCCTGCCATTCTCTCCCTTTCCACCTACAGAAGCTGCTCTGGGCCTCTTGCCACGCCGGTGACACACCTATGATCAACTTCGACTTCCATCAGTTTGCCAAAGGTGGGAAGCTAGAGAAATTGGAGAACCTGTTGAGGCCCCAGTTGAAGCTGCACTGGGATGACTTGGACGTGTTCGCCAAGGGCGAGAATGTAAGTCCACGGTGAGTCTCCACCTGCATCCTCCCCCTCCTCGTGCCGGGTGACCAGCGGAGCGGCGGGGGTCCTCCCGGGCTGGGTACCTCCCCTGCTGCTCAGCTACACTTGCAGTGTCTGGGACCACAGGCTCAGGGATGAGGGGGGTCCCGGGTTCCAGTGCCTTCTTCCCCTTCCCGCCTTCAGAACATGCTTTTGCATTTTGTGAATAGACGGCAAAGTGTGGTTTTCTGGCAAAATAAATGATAAATGAAAGGACTAGGTGAAAACGTGGAGCTGTGGCGACCATAGAACTTACTGTCCAAACTGAGGAAAGCCCATGAGAGTGAAGACAGATAGCTGGTGTCAGTTCCATTGCCCGAGGAGCCCGGGGTCTGGATTTTCCTGCCCAGAGCTGAGCAGGAAAAGGAAGCCCACTTTCCTCAAATCACAATGCAGTCGATCCTCATTCCTCACAGATTCTGTATTTGCACATTGGTCCATTGCGAACATTTATTTGTAACCCCCAAATCAGTACTTGTGGACCTTTCAGGGTCATTCACAGACATGCTCAGAACTGTGAAAAATTTGAGTCCCCGAGTACATCATGTTCCCAGCTGAGGGGGAGCCAGGCGACGCTCTGCCTCTTGGTTTCAGCTCTCCAACGATAAAGTGTCCTTTTTGTGGTCTGTGTGGTGCCACGTGGTCACATATTTGTGCATTTTATTGATTTCACTGTTTAAAATGGCACCCAGTGTAGTGCCAAAAGCTGGAAGATGTTTCCAAGCCCAAGGTGGTTGTGATGTGTCTGATGGGGAAAGTACGTGTGACAGAGAAGCTTGGTGCAGCTGTGTTAGAGGGCAGTTGACTAGGAGGTCAGTGTTAATGAGTCAGCAATCAATAGTAAAGTGCCTTTAAACAGAAACAGCTGTAAAACAAGGTTATGTGTTGAGTAGTTGGTGAAAACGTGTGAGGGCAGAGGCCCGCAGGAACCTAACCCTAGATTTCCCCTGGGAGCAGTAGTTCAGCATTTGTAATCTGCTGATGGGTCAGTTCGCTAATTGTTTTTTTCTTTTTAAGATTTATTTATTTATTTGAGCAGGGGGAGGGGCAGAGGGAGGGAATCTCACGCCGAACCCCACTGAGCGGGGAGCCCAACGCCAGACTCAGTCTCACTGCCCTGAGATCATGACATCATGACCTGAGCCGAAACCTGAGAGTCAGACGCTTAACTGACTGAGCCACCCAGGCGCCCCTCAATTCACTCATTGTTTATGGAAAGTTTCTAGAACATGAGTACGGCAGATAATGAGAATTGGCGTATTTCATAACTACCCAGCTGTGCGTGCCACTCCAGCCATGCTGGGGTCCCTCAGGGTGTGTGCCCTGGGGGTTCTGGTGGGCTACTAGAGTAGGCGAGGGTCGGCACCGGTTTTCTCGGAGGCCTGCAGTTAAACATAGGCTATTGTGCTATAGCCATTGCTACTTCAGCAACTTGTAACCATTTGCATTTCTTGTTCTCCTAAGTTTTCAGAAAGGCACTTTGCGGATGAACTGCCTTGATTGCCTGGACCGAACCAACACAGTGCAGAGCTTCATCGCACTCGAGGTCTGTCCCTGCCATGCGAGGCCCCTTGGGCCACCTGGGTCATGTCCCATGCCTCCATCGGCAAGATAAGGGGGACATCACTGAGCTAACTTTCTAACGGTGGAAACGTGGGGCAGAGATGTGCCAGGCATCTTAGAGCGAGGTTTGCCTAGGTGGCTGGTTTGCCCATACCACTGTATGCCTTCGCCCCATTTGTAGGCACACTTTATGGAATGCATCCCAGACATGGTCACCCAAAGGTGCCAGGGGCCACCTTGAGAAACAGTGGTTCTCTGTAATGATTACTGTGAATATTGGATTGGGCAAGGGCTGTGTGAGGCTGGCTGAGATGAGGCTGGATTTGAAGCCTGGGAGGGAGACCTGAGTCTGTCTAGTGGCCTGCTGGCCTAATGCCTGGTTGACCTCTCCTGGCTCACTGCTGGGGGGAAGGGGTGGGGTCACTGCTGTCTGCCAGGCTATCCCTGATTGCTCTCCATCCCTCTGGTGGTCAGGGCATGGGGGAGTGGGTCAGGAGTAAGGGGCCCAAGGAGGGCTGGTGGCATGATGAAGACCAGGTTGGATAAAGTTGGGTGAGTTGTGGTAGGAAGCCCCATTCTTTGCTGCAAGGATTCCCTGTTCTCTGGAGGGGCACAGAGTGATCCACAGTCTGCCAAATCGGGAACTCACTGGGATAATGCCTCATGACAACTCACCCAAAGCAGCTGTGGGTGGTAGGAGCTTCCAGGTGAGAAGACAGTGACATCTGTCCCTTACTTCTCATCCAGGTCCTTCATCTGCAGCTCAAGAGCCTAGGGCTGAATTCAAAGCCCATCGCTGACCGCTTTGTGGAGTCCTTCAAAGCCATGTGGTCTCTGAACGGGCACAGCCTGAGTAAGATGTTCACGGGCAGCCGGGCCCTGGAAGGGAAGGCCAAGGTAAGGGCAGGCCACAGGGAGAGAGGGAGGGCCTGCATGGATCCCTCTCACGGCCTCTGGTCTGGCTCATGGCAGGTAGGGAAGCTGAAGGATGGGGCCCGGTCCGTGTCTCGCACTATCCAGTCCAACTTCTTTGATGGGGTGAAGCAGGAGGCCATCAAGCTGCTGCTAGTTGGGGATGTCTACACCGAGGAGTCTGCAGACAAAGGAAGGATGCTCCTGGATAACACGGCCCTGCTGGGTAAGGGGGCTCCTGCTCTGCTTGCATGGAGATGTCTAGCTGCCCTGCCACCCGGAGGGAGTGTGTGGGGGGCGGGTTGTGCTAGCCAGTCCTTCCCTCTCCTCCTCATGTAATCCCAAAAGGCAGGGAGCAGACACTCTTCTGAGCTGTTCCGTGCTCGGCCCTTCTGGCCTATGACTTCAGCTTGACCACGGGACTTAAGCAGCCTAGAGCTTCGGTTTGTATTCTTCTATGAGATCATCAGTCATGTACAGCCACAAAAGGAGGCTCAGGAAAAAAGAGAGTTTATTCTTCAGATGTAAGGACATACAGGGGCGCCTGGGTGGCTCAGTCAGGTAAGTGTCTGTCTCTTGACTTTGGCTCAGGTCATGATTTCAGGGTCATGAGATCGAGCCCCGCATCGGGCATCAGGTTCTATGTTCAGCATGGATGGAGTCTGCTTAAGGCTCTCTCCCTCTCCCCCTCCCGCTCTCACTCGTGCTCTCTCTTTAAAAAAAAAAAAAAAAGACATGCAGACAAAAAGGGAAAGGGTGAAAAAAGATGTTTTATGCAAAAATGAAAATAAAAAGAAAGCTGGCATAGCTATACACCTAGCAGACAAAACGAGACTCTAAAACAAAGACTAAAAGTAGACAAGGGGCATTATGTAATGATAAAGGGGTCCGTTAAATGACGCCATAACAGGTATAAATATATCTGCACCCAGCATCTGAGCACTAAGATATTTAAATATTAACAGGCCTGAAGGGAAAAATTTCAGCAATACAACAAGAGTCGGGGGTTTTAATATCCTACTTACATCAATGGATAAATCATCCAGGCAGAAAATGAATCAGGAGACATTGGCCTTAAACAACACATTAGACCAGATGGATTTAACAGACATAAGCAGAGCATTCCACCCAAAAGCCAACAGAATAAACATTCCTCTTAAGTACACATGGAACATTCTTCAGGATGGGTCATATGTTATGCCACAAAGCAAGTCTTAATAAATTCAAGAAGATTGAAATCATATCAAGCATCTTCTCTGACCACAGTGGTATGAAACTAGAAATCAATTACAAGAAAACTGGATAAAAACACAAAAATGTAGAGATTAGACAATGTGCTACTGAACAACGTATGATGGGTCATCAAAGAAGCAGGGGAGAAATAAAAAAAAAAAATAGAGACAAACAAAAACAGAAATACAACACACCAAAATCTTTACGACACAGAAAAGCACTTCTGTGAGGAAGGAGCAAAGCAATCCAGGCCTACCTCAAGAAACAAGAGAAATCTCAAACAATCTAACTTTACAACCAAAGGAACTAGAAAAAGAAGAACAAATGAAGCCCAGAGTCCGTAGAAGGAAGGAAGTAATAAAGATCAGAGTGGAAAATAAATGAAATAAAGATTTAAAAACAGCAGGAAAGACCTATGAGTTGGTTCTTTGAAAAGATAAAACAAAATTGATGAAACTTTAGCTAGACCAACCAAGAAAAAGGAGAGGTCGCTAATCAGAAATGAAAGAGGAGAGATTACAGCTGATACCACAGAAATACAAAGGATCACAGGAGACTACTACACATAATTCTATGCCAACAAATCAGACAACCTAGAAGAGATGGATAAATACCATTCTTCCGAGATTGAATCATGAAGAAATACAAAATCTGGATAGACCGATTATTAGTAAGGAGATTGAATCAAAAATCAAAAACCTCCCAACCGGGGCACCTGGCTATTTCAGTTGGTAGAACACACAACTCATGATCTTGGGGTTGTGAGTTTGAGCCCCTTGTTGGGCATAGAGATTTTAAAAAATAAAATAGAGTGGCTGAAAATTAAAACCAAAACCAAAAAACCCCCTCCCAATACATATAAGTCCCATGGCCTGAAAGCATCACTGGTGAATTCTACCAAATGTTCAAAGATTAAATATCTGTCCTTCACAACTCTTCCAAAAAATTGAAGAGGAGGGAATACTTCCAAACTCATTTTTTGAGGCCATAATTACCCTGATACCAAAACCAGACAAGGATGCCACACACCCACACACAAAATTGTAGGCCAGTGTCACAGACAAACACTGACATAAAAATCTACAATAAAATATTGGCAAACCAAATTCAACAACACATCAAAAGGATCATTTATAATCAGGAGGGATTTATTCCAGTGATGCAAGGATGGTTCAACATCTGCAAATCAATCTACTGATATACCACATTAACAAAACGAAAGATAAAAATCCTGTTGATCAGGGCGCCTGGGTGGCTCAGTCAGTTAAGTGTCTGCCTTTGGCTCAGGTCATGATCCCAGGGTCCCTGCTCAGCAGGGAGTCTGCTTCTTCCTCTCCCTCTGCCCCTCCCCCCCATTCTTGTGTGCTCTCTCTCTCTCTCTCATCTTAAAAAAATCCTGTTGATCATCTCAATAGATACAGGAAAAGCATTTGACAAAATTCAACATCCATTCCTGATAAAAACTCTCAGCAAAGTAGGTAGAGGGAATTTACCTAAACATAATGAAGGTTATATATGACAAGCCCACAGCTAACATTACACTCAATGGTGAAAAGCTTTCAGCTTTTCACCTGAGATCAGGAACAAGACAAGGATGCCTAGTCTAGCCACTTTTTTTCAACATATATTAGAAGTCCAACCCACAGCAATTAGGCAAGAAAAAGAAAAGGCACCCAAATTAGAAAGAATAAAACTGTTGCTCTTTGCAAATGACGTACTATATATAGAAAACCCAAAAGACCACCCAAAACCTGTTAGAACTAATAAATGAATTTGGTGAAGTAGCAGGTTACAGAATCAACATACAGAAATCTCTGGTGTTTCTATACATTAATAACAAATCATCAGACTGAAAAAAGAAAACAGTTCTATTTACAATTACATCAAAAAGAATAACATACTAGGAATAAATTTAGCCAAGGAGGTAGAAGATCTGTACTCTGAAAACTGTAAGATACTGATGAACAAAACTGAAAAAGGCAAATAAATGGAAAGATCTTCTGTGTTAATGTTTGGAAGAATTAATATTGTTAAAATATGCATACTACCCCAAATAATGTACAGATTCAGTATAATCCCTATCAAAATTCCAGTGGCATTTTTCACGGAACTAGAACAAATAACATTAAAATTTGTATGGAATCACAAAAGACCCCAAATAGCTAAGGCAATCTTTAGAAAAAAGAACAAAGGTGGAGGTATCCAGCTCCCTGATTTCAAACTAAACTATGAAGTTATAGTAAAACAATATAGTATTGGTGTAAAAACACACAGAACAATGGAACAAAATTGAGAGCCCAGATTTAAACCCATGCATATATGGACAGGAAATTTATGACAAAGGAGCCAAGAATATACAATAGAGAAAAGACCATCCCTTCGATAAATGGTATTGGGGAAACTAGACAGCCACATGCAAAAAAATGAAGCTAGACCCCTATCTTACACCATGCACAAAAGTCAACTCAACATGGATTAAACATTTGAATATAAGACCTGAAATCATAAAATTCCTAGAAGAAAACACAGGTGGTAAGCTCTCCACCATTGCTCTAAGCATTGTTTTTTTGGATCTGACTTCAAAGGCAAGGGAAACAAAAGCACACATAAACAGATGGGGTTACATCAAACGGAAAAGTTTCTGCATGGCAAAAGAAATCACCAGAACAAAAAAGTCAGGGGTGCTTGGGTGGCTCAGTTAAGCGTCCGACTCTTGGTTTCAGCTCAGGTCAAGATCTCAGGGTTGTGAGATCAAGCCCCGCATCATGGAGCCTGCTTAAGATTCTCTCTCTCTCTCCCTCTCCCACTTTACCTCCCTCAAAAGAAAAAAAAAATGCAAGGCAGCCTACGGAATGGGAGAATATTTTTGCCAATCCTTTTTATTTTTTTAAAGATTTTATTTATTTGAGAGAGAATGAAAGAGAGAGAAAGCACATGAGATGGGGGGAGGGTCAGAGGGAGAAGCAGACTCCCTGCCTAGCAGGGAGCCTGATGCGGAACTCGATCCAGGGACTCCAGGATCATGACCTGAGCTGAAAGCAGTCGCTTAACCAACTGAGCCACCCAGGTGCCCTATTTTTGCCAATCCTAATTGAATAAGGAGTTAATATCCAAAATATGTAAAGAACTCCTACAATTCACCAGCAACAACAAAAAAATCAAGCAACCTGATTTTTACAAAATGGGCAGAGAATCAGAATAGACCTATTTACGAAGAAGACATATGGATGGTCAACTAGCACATGAGAAGATGTTCAACATCATTAATTACTAGGGAATGCAAATCAAAATGAAAGTAAGATCTAACCTCACACTGGTCAGAAAGACAACAGGCATTGGAGAGGGTTGTGAAGATAAGGGAGTCGTTGTGCACTGTTTGTGGGAATGTAAATTGGCACAGTCAGTATGGAAAGCAGTATGGAGATTCTTCAGAAAATTAAGAATAGAACTACCATATGATCCAGCCTTCCACTTCTGCAGATTCATCTGAGGAATATAAAAATATTGATTCAAAAAGATATACATACCCTTATGTTTGTTGCAGCATTATTTACAATAACCAAGAAATGGAACAAGCCAAGTGCCCATCACTAGATGTATAAAGAGGATGTAATGCGTGCGCGCACGCATGCACGCGCGCACACACACACACACACACACACACACACGCTGGAATACTACTTGGCCACAAAAAGGAATGAAATCCTGCCTTTTGCAATGACCTGGATGGACCTTGAAGGTATCATGCCAAGTGAAATAAGTTAGGTGGAGACAGACAGATACCACGTGATTTCACTCGTGGAATCTAAAACAAAAGGAAACTTACAGATACAAACAAATTGGTGGTTACCGGGGTGGGGGGGGTGGACAAATGGGAGAAGGGGGTCAAATGTATGGTGATAGATGGTAACTAGACATTTTGTAGGGCATACAGATGTAGAGCTGTAATGTTTTACACCTGAGACTTATATAATGTTATATACCAATTTTACTTCAGTTTAAAGAAATCTCTACTATACTTGCAGGTCCTAGATATGGAGGGCATGCCACACAGGGGTTTATTGGGGTTTCCGCAGGAAAGGCAAGACAGGGTAAACAGCTTAGGATTGGCCAGCTTGAGTAATTCTGGTAGGCTTTGGTTGATAGGCATGGACTCTAGTTGAATGGTACCTGGTCCTGGCATGACTGAGGCAGAGGAATATACAAAATATGTATACAGTAGCAGCTATCACTGTATTTCCTGGGGGCCTGTGCTTTCTGGCCTTGAGTGCGAGCCCACTCTTATACTTTCTTGTATGTTTCCAAGCCAAGAGGAGGGGGAAAGTCAAGAAGATGCTGCAGGAGACCCTGTACTATTCTACATGTCAATTTCTCGGAGTGCTAACTCCTACCGGAAACCCTTTCTCAGCCCCAGTGGGTTCTTGATCCCCATGACCAGATATCATTTGTCCCAGGGAGTCTCCCATGAGAGTGACCTCCTTTTGTTAGGGTCCCAGGACACTATAGAACTGGAAGAGGGAGAAGAAATGGTTGTCTCCGGGGCTCAGGACAGCTCCTGCTCTCAGGGACCAAGACTGTCATGCTTCTGTCAATAGCTAGAGGTTTCTTCTTCTTAGTTGAGATACAGTTGAAATAGGACATTGTTACTTTCACGCGCACAACATAATTATTTGATATTTGTATACATTGTGAAATTATCGTAGTAAGTTTAGTTAATATCCATCCACACATAATTACAAAAAAGTTTTTTTTTTTGTGAAGAGACCCTTATGATGACTCTCTTAGCAACTTTGAAATATGCAACACAGTATTATAAATTATGGTGGCCCCCCAGGACTTACTGATTTTATAACCGTACTTTTGACTCCATTCACCTTTCTCAACTTCAGCGCCCTCAGCCCCCAGTCTGTTCTCTGTATCTATGAGTTCATGGTTTTTACGGTGGTTTTGGTTTTTTAGCTTCCACCTGTGAATGAGCTAGAGGTTTCTTTGAGGGAATTTTAATGGCATCTTACTACCTAGATCCTGTAAATGCTATAGAGCTCTCAGTGGAGAAAAGGGGAGAACCCAACATTTTTCCTTACAAGAATGTGTAAGCTTTAAGAAATTTTTGAAAAATTAATTTGCCCGTACTTAACATGGTTTCACAGCCCCTTTGCTGCTTCCATTCTTCCATGGGAGACTCTCACCTGGCTTCCAACAGCCAAGGTGGTTATTTGTGTCGACCCGGAAATAAGGGTCTGCGTAGCACAGCGTCTTACTAAGTAGGTAGGTAGGCATGACTTCGGTGTGAGGTAAGTCACTACTTTAAAAAATGGAATATATTTTGGATATGTAGAAGATGGACCTGGTTCAGAGTAAGGATTTTTTAAAGACTTGAGTCCAACAAAAAGCAAACATAAACCTTTCCTGAGGGATGGAGGGTGAAAAAGGCAGAGAAGGGGTAAGACGTTTCAAGTCTTAGATACAGGCGTTCGGAGTGTGGTAGGCTGCAGTGTCCCCTTGCTCATGTCCCCACTGGATCGTGGAGGAAGTGCTGAGGCAGAGACTCCCTGTGGAGTCTGGTTGGTTAAAGCATATGGAGGAGGAATGTCTGGTCCTGTGTTTTCGGGACTTTGTGACAAAAATGCCCCAGGCAGGCGTACTGGTTATGGTGGCTTTAGCCTCCTTTTTTTGTTTGTTTTTAAGATTTTTTTTGGGGGGGGGGGAGCGCCTGGGTGGCTCAGTTGGTTGGGCGACTGCCT